TTCCTCTGAATGATTCAGTCAGTTCACTCAGTTGTTAGAAATCTACATTGTTAAATCAATCTGGGAGGGTAAAATCAGCACCTTGTCACTTTTATGGAGCACCATTATTCATATTGATCGTTAAATATTACATATAGATTAAAAGAAGATGTAACTGTTTCTGGAGAAAGCAATACATGGGAGTAAATGGGGTGATAAATGTCCCCCACATGTCTACACACATTATCCATTGTCTAATGTAGTGCTGTCCAAACACGATCCCGGAGTGTCAGAGAATCTGCAGGTTCTTATTCTGACTCCTTTCTTAAAGAACTAAACCAGCTCGCTGGTTACTGGCTGAACTGGACCCATTTGTCATGAAAGCCGCGGTTTGTTCCAGCTTTATTCTTGCATCACTGTCTGGTACGTTATTATACTTCAGTTCACACCCGTGCAAACAGAAAGGTGCCGACTTGTGCAATCAGGTTTGGCACAGGCTCCTAAAGACTCTCTGTACCGCCGCTTGGCCAACAGCAGCCTGTGTGACAACACCTTGCTGGTGGGGCAATGACTGCCTGTTTGCCTTACCCCTGCAGCCCTGCAATAAGAGGTCAATATTGCCATGTTCCTGTCAGGGAGCCCATGTAGCTACCAGCCACAGTGACCTTCCTGAGTGCAGCAGAGGTTGCGTGTCTCTATGAGCACTTTGATGACGGTGGACTGTTGGTAGTGAGTGCTAGCAGGCTGCCTGTTAACAGGTGGGCATATGAATTCTACAATTGTAGTCTTTGCAGCTGTTGTTTTATATACATAGTGACCTCATTTCAGGTGACATTACAGCTTTACAAGTATGCCCAGCTAATAATAGTATGATAGCAAAGCACAGGAAACACAGTAGCTTGTACTCTGCTTACTGTGGAATCTGACAGTGCATGTTTAGTTTATATTAAACCTATATCTTAAATTCTAAGTATGTAATGACTCTGCAATAATATAAAAACTGTATTTAAAAATACGTTTGGTAGATTACTGCTGTGATTACGGAGATTTATTTGGCGTAGGTCTCCCGCATCGATGTACAGAGGCGATTCAGCTTCGATTTGTTTTACAGCTGCATGTTCCGTTTCATATTAAATAGCGAATCCCTCTATAATCGATCATCCCGGGGAGCCAGACGGGATGCCTAGGGTTTCAGACAGCGTTGCCGCAAGGATATTGTCTTTTACTTCACTGGGGTATTCATTCCGGTCAGACCATATGAATCGCACACGTGGGACGGCCGAGCTCTACGCTGATTGGGCACACCTCCGTTTGGCCTGAGCCTCTCTCAGCCCGCCCATGACAGCCGGGGACCAATCGCATTGTTCGGTTCCAGGAGCGTGAGTCGCTACACCGGGGGTCAAGGGTGAACAACCGGGAGTAACCCTCCATCGCATCACACCACTGTGTGATGTAGCTGTCAGAGAGCCCGCAGTTAACACAGAAACCCACCTTCAGGTGAATTTTCCATCATTAGAAATGACGATGCGCCGAATTCTGGACTGAATTAGTTCACCGGTGGCAATTCGTCAGGGACCAACGATTACACAGCAGGATAGCTTGCCGGTTTCTCCGTCACGGTGAGTATCCTTCACATAATCTCATTACATGATTGAAGCTGCACCCGGCATTCGCTGTACTGAAGAGTACATTGTGTCTTTTTCGTAACTGCGTGACAAGAAGGTTAGTTTACTCCTTCATGTGGGAGTTTTGCTTATGTTTTGTTGCTAAGTGTTAAAACACTTTAATGCAAGTGTCGGATATGCAGTACTGTAGTTATTTATAGGGCGTGTAGGTGGGTTGCTTGTTAACAGTCCAGGTACAACAGCGAATCTTTCATATGTGGCTGGAGTTCTGGTGGACAATAGGTGTGTCTGTTATCTAATATTCCGTGAGACTGTTAAAAGATGTATACATTTGGTACAGCACGTACACACCCAACACGCATGCAATAATCGGGGGCGTTCTTTAACACGTTATCGTGAGCGATATGAAGCGAGTGGTGTATTTTCGATCCAGATATGATATATTATGAGCCCGCATGAAACACGTGTGAGGGCAATCGAAACCATGCCCCACACCGAGGAGCGTGTTTGACTGGATCCGCGAGGCGTGCCCGGCGCTTGCGACATCCTGCGCGTCTGACTGGTTCACCAAGGTTACCTCAAGAACTCATCCTCCCCTCTGGCATCACTCGCGGTCCGGGGGACGGCATTTTAAGCCTGGTATTTCACGTGAAGTGGATGAAGAGCTCGTGTATTCACATCTGAGCCGGCACCGAATTATTGTGAATCCCTCTTTCAATGGAAAAAAATAATAAAATAAAACCACATTGGATATTTAGCTTACGTGGTGGTTCAAAGAATAAACATGCCTTCTGTGCCAGACACTGTACTGTACTGAGCAGCGCTCCTGCTGTCACGCCAGGCAAATAATCAGCGGCTGTCGCAGAGAAGGAAAAGAGAGGGAGCTGTCCTGATCTCTTTCTGGGATCGGGGACACGTGTTTCGCGAGCCCCGTGCGGGAGCCGCGGCGCGAGGCTCTACCTGTCACCCGCCGCGGCGGCCACTTCCGGTAGTGATGGTCTCTCCGTCCGGCGGGTCTCGGCTCCGGCGAAATCACCGCGGCGTCCTGCTCCCGCTCCCAGCGCCCTCACATCTCGCTAGGGAAGCCCAGAAGGTTTCGTATAGCCAACACACTGGTTATATTACAACAGGTTTTACATGTGACCGCGGCATTGCCTAGGTTTCATTGTAGGAATGGCTTCAACTGCGAACGGAAAATCGCATTTGTTTTTAATTCCCGTGGAGCCCTGCGGTCTGTAGGAAGCCTCCTAAAATCTGTGCCCAGTTCCTTCTGATGATTATTAATTTCTTCAGTGTTGGGACATTTCTGACCAACAGTGGTTAGAGGTAGGTTGTGGTCCTAAATATGGATTATCTGCCTTTTCATAACACATGGTCAGCTATAGTGTAGCACGACTTCGTATGAAAAAAAAATCATATTTACAAGTACTGTAATACATTAATAATCGTGTATCATGATAATTACTATAATACTACGGTAAAGAGCGGTACTGTGATGTTGTAGTAGTAGTAGGTATCATGATAATTACTGCTGTGGTGAGGTATGATGTAACAGTAATTATTAATGATACATTGGGGAAAGGTCTAAGTTCATTTTCCTGTAGAGTGGGAGAACTCTGGGGGGTTTCTGAGAGATCAACAACAGTATTGACTCTGACAGTCTCATAATTAGGAGTAGTGGGCAAATGGGTGTAAGGCCACCATTGAGTGAGTGTTTTTTTTTTTTACTGTGGGATTTCATCACAGATTTGAGGAGGCAAACCCTGCTGTCTCTTTCCATGAGACAGCTGGTATGTAAATACAGAGAACAGCTGAGCTCCCTTTGCATATCATTTACAGAAAATATCGTTTTCAAGGGATTCGTTTGGATGCAGTGGTGGGCAGGAATCACAAATGAATTAAACAGAGGCAACATCATTAAAACAGAAAGGAACACGGGTCATTTACCTAATTAAACCATTTTGGAACATGTGGCCATCTTTTTGTACTGTATGTGGCAGTGCAGCTGGAGACACAGTAGATCACCATGCAGCCAGTTCTAGCCTGTGGAAGTGTTGTGATGCAATCTGGCAGTGCTGAGAGCTGGCTGGAAACACAGTCCGCTCATGACCCTGGCGCTGGCTGGCGGAGATGGGCTCTGTCCTTGCCCGCTCCTTGTGGGCCAGCCGGTTAGAGCGCGTGTTTCCCAACAGCGTGAGCACGGGGCTGGTTTCTGGTGCCGTCCAGGCCGATTGTCAGTCCCCCCCCCACCTCTGCTGCTCCCCCGCAGTGCTCGCAGCCTGCCAGGGCCCCCCAGCCATGGCGGAGCAGGACCACCCCGCCGGGGAGCCGCCGGAGGCCCCCGCCGCCCTGCACTCCCACTTCATCATCGGCTCCGTGTCGGAGGAGAACTCGGAGGACGAGATCTTGGGCAAGGTGGACCTGTTGGGGGACAAGGAGCGCTCGCTGTCCCCGTCCTCGGTAAGCTCCGACAGCCAGTACGAGCTGGGCTTCGACCACCTCGACGGACCCCTGCACCACATGAGGTGAGCTTCGCGGCCCGGGCCCCTCTCCTCTTCCCCCCTTCTCTCTCCACCTGGCTCCAGAACGCACTGCTCTCCCGCTCTCTTCCTGTTCCACTCTCGATTTCATCCATCTCTCTCTCTATCCCTTCCCTTAATGTCATCATCTTTCTCTTCCACTTATTCTCCTTTTTCCTTTCCCTTTTTCTAGCTCCACTTGTCTTATCAATATACCAGTTTCTTTTCTCTAACTCTATCCACACATTTCTGCTCTGCAAGATTGTTTGCTCTCTCAGGGTTGCTGTTTTTCTTGCGTGGCACATAAAGTACTTTGGTCTCTGTTCCAAATGATTTATTGTGCTTAACGTGCAAGGATTGCATTTGCTACGTGCATTATAAAGCATGGACTTGTAGGTGTGCACTGGCTGAATACCGGCTTGTAGGTGTTTCTGCAAACTGAAAGAACGTTCTGAGATGTGAGATTGGGCTGCTGCAGCAGCAGTGCGTGTGCGTGACAATAGTTGAGAGGGTGTCGTGAGAGGCCTCTGTCCTTCACCAGCCTGTGTGAGATCCCAGGTCTGCTCGTTTCACAGAATTCCCAGACTTTTTTTTTCCGCTTTGAGCGGCCCTTGCAATCCTGCCCTCTTTTCATGGCCTCTCTTTGTGGTGTTCGACAGCCTGCATGCATGAAGCTCTGCAAGCCCCTGGCGCCCTGTGCTCACTCAAGCCTGCATTGGCTCTGTGCTGGGGGAGAGCATTTCAGAAAAGCAATTCTTTCATCTAGCCTTTGAGTTGCATTTCTGTCAGATTTACCTACCCCACCGTCTCTAGCTCAGTTCTTCTTTTTAATTTTTTTTTAGAATCAAATTGTCCTTTTTTTTTTATAAATGCATTTTCCCGCAGAAGGTGCTGTGCTGTGTTTCTGTTGCACTAATGTTCACAATACTGATGGAGCCCAGTTTCACGAAAACAGGGCGTGAGGAAGCTGCCCTCAACCGTGCAGTGTTATTGGATATTGTGAATCTATAAGCTCCCTGTTAACGTGGAAGAATGCATTTTCTTTTCATTAGCACACATCAGTGAGGAATGCTGATTTTCACTCTACCTGTTTATTGCAGATTGTTTATTAAAAACAATGATTAATTTTGAGCACTGCAAAATCTTTATTCGTGTCTTGGGGCTATTCTAACCAGAAGAGCGTAGTCCTTCACAGTGCTCACAACTGTTCTGTTTCTTACACATAGCCTGTGATTATTTGTGCAAGTGTCATGTGTCCACTGCACACATTTATTTTGAAGAGCACGTGAGATTAATCTGTGAGTAGACAATTCTGCTCCTTGGAGAAAGTCTTCTTGGTTTGGGTAATTTTAATGAAGACACTTCCTAAGCCCCCTTTGTCCCACCTCAAAACCTGTCTCCTGAGGCCAAAGCAGCACATTCACTGTAAGAACAGACAATCTCTTTTACCCTGTGATGTACGGGCTGTGCTGTACAGGGCCACATGGCCCCGGAGAATCCAGGATGGCAGTCAGAAAGTATGCCTATGCCATGACTGTAAAGGTTTCCCACAAGACCAGGTGTGGATACTTGTTTATGGGGCTGTGGAATATCTGGAGGAGATGCTAAGATTGTTTGTAAGGGTAAATTGCTATCATAAATAAGCATAAAAAAACAGACATAAAGAAAAAACAAAACAGTGTCATGCTGGAGGTAGGACTGATGATTTCCAGGTTTGTAAAAATTCAGAAGGAAACAGTAGCCCACAGCTGTAGGCTGCTCTGAAATATAAACCTTACTATTGTGTATAATGGTTGGTCACCAGTATTTCTGCATTATGTTATGCCTAAGCAGTATCTTAGCTGGAAAACTCTGGTGCACCACCTTGGTTTTTTTTCTGAACTCGTTCAGACGTGAGAGGGCTGGTAGTGTCACCCCAAATTACAGTGCAGCAGGTTCCCCCTCCATGCTTTGCTGCGAGTGTGTGTTGCTGGTCTGGGTGCATTGTCATTTTCTCCAGCATGGCCACAGATCTGTTCTCAGCCAAGCAGGTGAAGCCAAAGCTTCTTAAGCCTGATTTCTCGATTAACATTCCTCAGTGTTTTTTTTTGTTGTTTTTTCCAAAGTCCTTTGAAGTAAAAAAGCACTGTATAAATACTATATAAATGCAAGGAATTCTTTTAATAATTAGGCTGTGGGCCTCTATCTTTTGTTGAGTGAATCTGTTGGGCATCATACTCTTTCTAGTCATTTAGCATTAGCATTGCTAATTACTGCTCAGTGTTGTTTCAGGGTATGTACAAAATTCTAGGTATGCATAAATACTGCTTATTCTTTTGTCTGGACCAGCAGTGCCACTTCACATGGTGGGGTGGGGGGGGGTGAGAAACTGGAAATACAGGACATTGAGAAACATCTCAGGCCAGCAGCATAACCGCCCCCTCTTCCCTGTTGGAGGAGAGAGTCCTCTGCCTGGCAAAAACAGACCATTGTGTAATTCAGATTTGGAGTGGGGCCTGTACTGTATGGCCTGGAGGGCTGGTAATGACCTGCGGTGGCTGAGACACCCCTTTGACCCCGACCCCCCCAGCATGCGCCAGTGTTCCACAGTGATGCAAGACTGTCCCCCTCCCCTCCCAGCCAGGTCGGACCACTGTATCTGGCCAAACAACAGCTGGAACTGCTGACACGCCTTCTCTTGAAATATCAAGGACCACCCAGACCTCCTTATTGGCTCAGAGCTTGAGGGAAGGTGGGTCTGTGGTTGTGTTGTGGCATTAAATCACTGAGGCTGAGGGAGAGAGTGACGCACAGTCTGCGCATTAACACCCTGCTGTTGTTCGATCACAGAGTCCCGCTCAGGCTCACAGGCCCACGCTGTAGAGGATTTACTTTGCATTCAGCGCATCACAGAAGCATCACTGTTTGACTGCTCATCTGTCTGATTGCTAGGATATTAAGAGGTTAACGCGAAAAAGAGCAAATAAATCAAATATTTGCTCCAGGGTATCTCTGGCTGCTGCTACAATGGAAGACGCTGTCTTCTGTTAGCAAGAGCTGTTACTGTTTGGGTTTCCTCTGTAACTGACAGTAAGGGGACTGTCTGCCGGGACAGTGGAGTTTATTGTGGTGTCCTGCTGTGTGGTGGCCACCCTTGCCCGCTCACTCTTCAACGCGGAGTGTACTCCCACTCCCTGCCCGTTAATCTTCCATCGCTTCTTGTTGTGCAAGGAAATGAGCCTTTGCAGAGGGTGTTTTCTGTTTTTTTATGGTGCAGTGTTTGTGTCCATTGCCCATTGTAGCCTTTTAAATCACAGAAAGACTGTGGGTTTGTTTCCCCCGGCAGCAGGAACCTTGTTGTGTGATTAAATTCAGGGAAGGCCTCAGGGCAGAGGAAGTGTGCTATAGGGTAAAAAAATCATCATCTTATTTTCATGGGCGGGAGTGAGGCTGTGTGGCAGCGTGTGGGTGGCCAAGGAACAAGCAGAGGTTAATTCCACGTGGAAAAGTAGGAGGAAGACAAAAAAAACACATTTCAACTCTAGATGCAGAATTAATCCCAACTGGTTCCTTACTATCTTTGTTGTTATTATTCCACATTCCATAATCTTTGCAAAAGCGGCATAAAATAAAAACGTTTTTTAAAAAAAGCACAGCTGATCAGAATAATGTACAGCAATAAGATCCAAATTAAAATATATAAAAGCAAACTAAAAATGATTTAAGAGATGCTGCGTTATATAAATATGTTTTAAATATATAAAACAAACATGTCTTAAAATATGTATAATATGCAGCTGGCATATATGTATCATAAATGAATGTTTCTCTCACAGGGAGTTATAAGGGTGCTTTAAGGGTACAGGACTACAGTGAATTTGCAAATACGGACACACCCTGCAGCCTGCTTTGAGATACTGTAATCTTACTAATCTCCACAGCGACTGTGATTGTGTCTCTCCTGAAACCTGTAATTACTGAGTTCCACATCTTCATTGCAACATATTAAACACAAAATGTTGGCCTAAGGAAACACAATAAAGTAGTTAAAATAACAGCAGATCAGGGGTGAGTTTAGGAACACAGACAGTGACCTCAATACTGTCCTGGGGGGGTATAGGTGAAGGAGGGATCAAGAAGCTGTCCCCTGCTCCGCAGACTGCAGGCACCAGGCGTCAGGATGCGTGAATGTGTGCTCTCTGTCGCCGCCCTACAGGCCCAGCATGTCGGGGCTCCACCTGGTGAAGCAGGGCCGTGATCGAAGGCGCATCGACCTGCAGAGAGACTTTACCGTGGCCTCCCCTGCGGAATTCGTCACGCGCTTCGGAGGCAACAAGGTCATCGAGAAGGTGGGTGACGAAAGAGAAGGCGGCGGGGTGGCTCTTCCGGGGGTGTCCCCCTTCACTGTGCCAGCCCGCTGAGCTGTCGCTGTCTTGCTTTGGTAGGTTCTCATCGCCAACAACGGCATCGCCGCGGTGAAGTGCATGCGGTCTATCCGCCGCTGGGCCTACGAGATGTTCCGGAATGAGCGCGCCATTCGCTTTGTCGTCATGGTAACCCCCGAGGACCTTAAGGCCAATGCAGGTGAGTGGGAGGTGGAGGGTGCAGGGGGTGGCACATGGGGGGGGGACGGGACGTAGGGGCATAGTGACTAAACACAGAGTAGTGGTGGACAGAAGAAAAGCTGTGTTTAAACAAACTGCTTCTGGGGATCACCAGAGGTTTTTATTTTTTGTGCAGGTGTTGCAATACCAAGCCTGGCTCTTTCAAAAAAACGTGCTTTGGTTGGTGGCATGGAAGTGTACTGCATTCAGTGATAGCAGAGAGTCAATATTGCGTTTCAGACGAAGAGATGCAGGGTGTGGTTTGAAAGCCGTGCTGATCCGGCTGGCTGTTTTCCCAGGTTGAGGAAGCGTCTCTGTCTCTGGTGCTCTGCAGCAGACGTATCAGGCATGATATTAGGCTCTAATCCATGCTTAATGGGCACTTACTGGTTTAAGAGATCCACATTTCAACCTGCATCCTCTGCTAAAAGCACAGTGCTGGATGTTTTCTAATCCGAATCGGATGACAAATGATCAGTTGATATTAAACATGGCTGTTTTAATTACATTTAACCTTACTTTTAGAAGCAGTGCTATTGATTATTAGCTCTTTCATTTTAATACTTCGTCATGGGATACATATATATATATAATATAGGCCTTCGGCTTATTGAGCATCTGGAGAGAAAGTGGCAGAAGATTCAGGCCAGGTGTGGTCTTGTGGTATCACTTCTGTGGTATTGAGTGATGGAGGCTGGGCATTGCTTGTGGCTGTTTCTGTTGAAATCAGAAACTCGGAAGCATTTCTTGGCTGAGAGCCTCTTGTCCTGTGCTGACCAGCATGCCCACTGCCATGGGCGTTTGTTCTGTGCAGAGTACATTAAAATGGCGGACCACTATGTGCCTGTACCTGGAGGACCTAATAACAACAACTACGCCAATGTGGAGCTCATTCTGGACATCGCCAAGCGCATCCCCGTGCAGGTAGGACTGATGTGAAAAAGCAGTGTCAGAGACTAGTTACTGCATTGGAATACAGTACCTGTGTATTTGAATGCCTCGTGTCACAGGGCTGAGTCTGCTGTTTGACCTGCTCTGCTGTTTTCCCAGGCGGTGTGGGCGGGCTGGGGCCATGCCTCAGAGAATCCCAAGCTCCCAGAGCTGCTGCACAAGAATGGCATTGCCTTCATGGGTAAGACAGATTGCCCCCGCCGCCCATCCCTCTCCCTCCCAGGAGAGGAAGTCCGTGTTTCTGCCCCCCATTGCGATACGTATGGCAAGTAATCTTCTACAGAAGAGACGGAGGAATAAAACATTTAAAGTGGCACACTGCAATGGCCCATGAAATAATAGGCAATGAACAGTGCTTTCACTGGGACATCTGATAATCTGAGTTGATACAGAGACGGTTTTTTAATGCATTTAGTGCTTTTTAGGCCCTCACTGCAGTCACGTGTTCCCTCTGCAGGTCCACCCAGCCAGGCCATGTGGGCGCTGGGAGATAAGATCGCCTCATCCATCGTAGCACAGACAGCGGGCATTCCCACGCTACCCTGGAGTGGGACTGGTAAGAGTTTGCTTTGTGTGTGCCTAGTGCTCTATGTCATGGGACAGAGCTCCTTCCACATGGAATCAATTTCAAATGAAGTGTTAAAAGAAGTATTTGAATATACAGTACTGTTGTATGATGGATCAGACTTTTTAAACAATCAAATCTGAGCCAGTGTCACAGCTGAAGGGCCTCTGTTCATATATTTCTGTTTGCAACTGGACAGTAACACTGCATACAAAAGACATGTGACAAACAGTTCACAAATTTCTATGCACTGGAATTGCATGCTACACCTTTATAGGACAGCAGATGGGGTGTTTACTGTGTGCTTACCTGGCTGAGCCTGCAGTGAGCGGTGTGCACACGTGTGCTCTCTGCAGGGCTGACAGTGGAGTGGTCAGACAGTGACCAGAAGAAGAGGAACATCAAAGTGCCCCCTGAGCTGTATGAGCAGGGCTGCATCCATGACATGGAGGAGGGACTACAGGTAACCAAGGCCCACAGATGATTCAATATATTAACTGGGGAATGTCCACACAATTATAGATATCACTACTGCTTAACTGCATCTGTTAAGATAGGCTGAACAGAAATACTTTTGCTGTGTGGCTTCTGAATTCTTGACAGAAAGGCTTAAGGTTGGATACCAAGATAAACGCAAGGAGAAAATTTTCTCTTTTCTTTGTTCTTCCCACTTAAGTAATGCGTATTTTTTATAGATTTGTAGATTGCACATATCGTTTTCTCCTTTATGCCTGGATGTGATTAAGTAGCCTTGCTTGTGTTCAATTGTACATATTAAGGACCAGTGCAGTATGGGTATTTGGCTGACTCTTTACTGACCCCTGCAGGCTGCAGAGAAAGTGGGTTACCCTGTGATGGTGAAGGCCTCGGAAGGCGGGGGAGGAAAGGGCATCCGTAAAGTGAACAGCGCAGATGACTTCCCTAACCTCTTCAGACAGGTGAGTGTGTCCATTCGGACTGGATGTTGTTGTAGAGTGCATTGCCGTCCAAGCAGGTTGATCAGCTGTGTTTGCAGCTGCAAGTTAATGCCCTTTGTGCTGGTCGTCTCAGGTCCAGACAGAGGTGCCCGGCTCTCCTATCTTCGTGATGCGACTGGCGAAGCACGCGAGGCACCTGGAAGTCCAGATCCTGGCCGATCAGTATGGTAATGCCATCTCGCTCTTCGGCCGTGACTGTTCTGTGCAGCGGCGCCACCAGAAGATCATTGAGGAGGCCCCCGCCACTATCGCCACATGTGCTGTGTTCGAGAACATGGAGAAGGTAATGGACAGGGACCACCGCGCTGATTATGGATGATATTTAGGAGAGTGAACATGTGCAGAGGGCAGATGGAGTAGTGAAGGGGAGAGAGGGTGCTAGGCAAAAAATCCCTCAGGTTGTTAGTCCGTCCCTTGTCTGTTATCCAACTTACTCTTCCCCATCCTGTGTCAAGCTGGAAAACTGCTAATGTCACAGGATGAATGACAAGTATTAGAAATGCCTACGGGGACTATTAAAATGAGCCCACTGTCAGATATGTACTTTCCTGTTACAAGGGTCTTTTTAATTCAGTCATTTAAGTGCTATATCCTCAGTAGCTCCTGGTAAATTGCTGTTATTTTATGTATGAATCCTCTTATTTGCAGACTTCTGCTGCTGCTGCTGGAACAAAGTTTAAGTAAGAAGGGTGATGCCTGCTGGTCAGGAGTGCTGGCGGTTGCTGTGGGTTTTAATTGGGCCCTGTCTTGGCAGTGTGCCGTGAAGCTGGCGAAGATGGTGGGCTACGTCAGCGCTGGCACAGTGGAGTACCTGTACAGCCAAGATGGCAGCTTCTACTTCCTGGAGCTCAATCCCCGGCTGCAGGTGGAGCACCCCTGCACGGAGATGGTGGCCGATGTCAACTTGCCTGCTGCACAGCTACAGGTGAGAGTGGGAGGACGCGGGCATCAGTGCAGACAAACATGGCTTCCCTGCAGGTAATGCCTCAGAGAGTTCACAATGGCCAAAGAAAGATCCCTACTCATGCAGCAACAGAGCTAGTTGGAAACCAGTTATGCGAGCTGTGAACTCTCCGGATCTTACCTCCTCCTGAACCTTCTGTTGGCTTTTCAGGGCAGAAGTGATTCTTCTGTCCCGGGGCCTTGTCAGCTGATGCAGTAGCTGAGACCATGTGGTGTAACATGCACCCTGCTGTCTGCACTACAGCAAGCAACCCCAGCACGGCCTCACGGCTCGCTCTCCATCTCCACGGGTGAGCGCTGTGAGGGCTCAGTCGCTGTGGAAACCGGGGAGGAGGCTGCCTTTGCAGCTAGTTCCCCCCCCCCCCCCCCCACACTAAAGAAATGCAGAGTCACGTGACTGGGCAATGTAGGTCAGCTGTCAGAGGGCCTCTGTGGCAGTGTTTTACATAGGAGCGCAGACCCTACTCCACAGCACAAAGGTTGCCTTTCTCATTGACTTGCAGTCTACTGTAGATCAGCCAAGATTCCAGTTTTTCATTGTGTTAAATAAGAATTGCCGAGGGATTATACAGCAGGGTAATCTAGGGCATTTATTGAGTGCATGCCAATTGATAGATGTGACTATAGCTTGCGCTGCCTAATGTGCCCACATTCTCAGGATTCTGTGTCTAATTGAAGGAAAAGGGATAAGAAATTGCCCATACTAAGGATCAATGAATAAATAAATGAGTTTGGCACAAGGGCTTAAAGTTGAGATAAAACTAATAGTTCTAAAAAACTAATACAATTGTAATATATTTCTAGAAAATAAAGGTTTTTATACTCACTATAAGTAAGTCATGCCTTCATCGCCATCTACTGGACATGAGCAATACTGATACCGATTTTTCTCGGATCTAGGTTCGGGAATGCAGCCTAAATTTTGAATGTGTTATTAAAAAAATGTGTAACTTAAAAACGAAGTCCCAAATTAAATGCAAGTCAATGGGGGGGGGGGGATGTCCTGGGTCCATTTCCAACCAGAGGATTGACTTTTTCTAATCTAAGATACTTCCATGGTGCTGTACTGAAAGTCATTTTGAAGCGAAGTGCCTGTTAAAGTCTGCCGGTGCCATGGGAGGACAGACCGGGGTTAGTGGTGGGTAGGAGTGGTGTGGGAAATGCTTGAGTCATGCTGCCGCTCTTACAGACACATCTGGACTGTGCAATTCTGTTCATGTCCTTTTACTCTCTGTGATCTTTTTAAATCCCAATGTTTTGAAGTATTTAAGTAACCTTAAAAATATTTTTGCTTTGCTCTACTTATGATTCTGTCTGATTGTTTTCCCACTGTTTTTCCCACAGTAGCTTACTTTGTTTTAGGGTTGTATAGATTTTTTTTCACTTTCCTGCAATAATAAGCAGCAGGGCTGGGCAGCTTGTTCCACACTGCCCTCTGGGTCGTGTTCCACTGTTCATTCAGTGTATTCTGTTTGCGCACCTAACAGCAACAAAGCATGTTAAACTGAGAATTAATTTGTCCTAAATTAGGAAATAGTATACAGTATTTGAACGAGACTTGTTAAGCCAAAACATGCAATTTAAATCACTAAATCAAGAACTACCTCTACTGTAGTTTTATTAGGTTTTATAGGGCATTCAAAAGAAGCTCATGTACCTAACATACTGTGTATTTCTGTATAAAGACTTCTTCCAGTGACTGGTGAGATCTGCCTCATAACATTCCAAATCAAATTCAGTTGCCTGCAGTAAAAGCATTGTTAGCTGCTTTAAAGAAAGGCTTAAACAGCAGGCCTCGGTCTGCTCTTGGCTCTCCCCCCGTACAGATCGCCATGGGGATCCCCCTGCAAAGGATCAAGGACATCCGGATGCTGTATGGGCTGCAGCCATGGGGCGACTCGCCCATCGACTTCGAGGGCTTGTCCACGGCGCCCTCTCCGCGTGGCCATGTGATCGCCGCTCGCATCACCAGCGAGAACCCTGACGAGGTACGGTAATGCCTTGCATTTTTACACAAAGTGCTTTCGTTCCTGTGTGTGTTGCAAACAGGGAGGAACCCACTTTTTCCACCATTGATATATTGGACCCATTTGGCTGGCAGCAGTTCAGTGCCAGCAGCCCCAGTTCACAACCAAAAAGGTGGAAAGGTGGGGAACTGGTTCACCATTTGAGTTAAAGGGGAACATTCAGAAGTCTTTATTGTGCAATCCCAGAGTTGAGCTGGGACACCCCTGTTGTGCTGCGGTGTGTATGTGTGTCACTGTCCCCCGGTAACTCTGGCTCGTCTGCCTGGCCTTGCAGGGGTTCAAGCCCAGCTCGGGCACCGTGCAGGAGCTGAATTTCCGCAGCAGCAAGAACGTCTGGGGGTATTTCAGCGTGGCGGCTGCCGGTGGGCTGCACGAATTTGCCGACTCGCAATTCGGTCACTGCTTCTCCTGGGGGGAAAACCGCGAGGAGGCTATCTCGTGAGTTCCCTGTCTCTCCCCCACTGACTGTCACTCTCTCTCTTCTGTGTATGTGTTTATCCACACTCCATTCCTTCTTCAAGGAAAGCCATTCCTTCTTCAAACTGATTTTTCTCAAGTTTTACAAACACCACCCTTTTCCTCTGCATAAAATCAATGTCATTGGCAGTTGTCGTAAGTTTTGATTCTTGCCTTTCAATAGTATACCCACTCTCTGTTTGCCCTCAGCTGCACAGAGTGCCCTTGCCCCTCAGTAACATAGTGTCTGTTTGTTGCCCCTCAGGAACATGGTGGTGGCCCTGAAGGAACTGTCTATCCGTGGGGATTTCAGGACCACGGTGGAGTACCTCATCAAACTGCTGGAAACGGAGAGCTTCCAGCACAACAGCATCGACACGGGCTGGCTGGACCGGCTCATCTCCGAGAAAGTGCAGGTAATGGAGTGCCTGTCCTGCCCGTCTTTGTCTACAGGCTTTCAGCTTCGTTTGCATCACGATTTTCCTCTTGTCTCAGTTGTGTTTGTAAGCGAGGGATTCTCCTCTGTGTTTATTAGGCAGAGCGACCGGACACCATGCTGGGTATAGTGTGCGGAGCCCTCCATGTTGCCGACATCAGTTTAAGGAACAGCGTCTCAAACTTCCTCCACTCGCTGGAAAGGTAGGGAGCCAGGGCAGGGTTGGCTGAAGGGCGGTCCTTTTTTTGCAAACAGCTACACAGCAAAGCCTTACTTGGCACCGGCCACATTGATCTGAGTTTCCCGTCTGTTTTCTCCCTAGGGGTCAGGTGCTGCCCGCTCACACTCTCCTCAACACTGTGGATGTGGAGCTCATTTATGAGGCCACCAAATACGCGCTGAAGGTAAAACACTGCCTTCTGGGTAACAGGCGGGTCAGGGCCTCCATATATATATCATGCTGACAATTATAAGTAACCACTTAGCATGAGTACATGCCAGCGTTGTATATAATAAGTGCCATCATCATTTCACATTACCAGTGTGAGAATTAAAAGCAATGCAATACAAGAGTTATTGCAGGATGCAGATGACAGCTGAGAAGTTACACTTACTGGCTGAACAGAAGAGTTTTGAGCAGGCTCTGAAAGGCAATCAGGGACAGAGGGGCTCTGAGTTCTGCGGAACAATCATTTCACAGTTGAAGGTAAGAGTGGCATGGGCTCTGGAAGTGACTTCCTGTCTGACAGAAGAAGAAGGAGGGAGACAGGGTGTGGCAAGAGATAAAGAGACTGAAGACCGGCAGGAGCATGGTGGTGCATGGAAGAGTAGTGACCAGGTGAATTCTGGGTGAGCTGGAGTGAGCAGATGGCACTGGCAGGGAGGGTGTCCAAGAGGGAGCCCTGGTAGTGTAGGGGCGAGAGTACCAGACCTGGTACAAAATACAGGTTTACTCTGTTCTCGATAACTAGTGCAAAGGTCAGTTTTGTACATTGTGAATAAGTTACATACAGTACAGCCCCAAGGCACTGTGTCTGTACTGTATGTAACACCTGTGCTGGCCATGGGAATAAGACTCTCCCCCTGTGCCCCTAGGTGACCCGTCAGTCTCCCAACTCCTATGTGGTGATCATGAATCACTCATGTGTGGAGGTGGACGTCCACCGGCTGAGCGATGGCGGCCTCCTGCTCTCCTACGATGGCAGCAGTTACACAACGTACATGAAGGAAGAGGTGGACAGGTAGTGGATACTGGGCACTGTAACTGCAAGCTCTTGCTCTTGCACTCTCACTGCACAATCAGAGTAAATAATTTGTCCCACATATGACTCCAGGGACAGGTTCCTGTGATGTTGGAAACTGCCGATATAAATTGGTTTAAATCAAGCCTGTGCTTTCTCTTGTTTGCACCCATACTCACACTGACGCTGTATTCTATCCCTGCCTTCTCTGTCATGTCCTCATCTCTGTCTCCCCCCGGCTGCCTGCCCAGGTATCGCATCACGATCGGGAACAAGACCTGCGTGTTCGAGAAGGAGAACGACCCCTCACTCCTGCGCTCCCCCTCCGCGGGGAAGCTGATCCAGTACACGGTGGAGGACGGGGGGCATGTCTTCGCAGGACAGTGCTACGCTGAGATAGAGGTGAGCCTTCTACTCCGTACGTTCTGTGCTGTGCTGGAGCGCTGGGAGTCAGTGGGGATTGAAGGGGAGGCATCCACCTTGCTGATGTCCCCCCGGAGTCAGGAAGAGGTCAGGGGGACGGTGTCTCACTTCTCCTGGGAACACTGATCCAGTTGCACTCTGCCGTTTGGGAGTCAGACAGTCAGGGACTGGGGGTTCTGAGTTCTGCAGGAGAGTCCTGGTCACAGTCAGTTAGTGACCTCAGATCAAGCCCATCCTGGTCCCAAGAAAGATCTGTTAAGCAAAACATGTGTGTCTGACATGACTGCATATCTTCGTGTAATTCTGAACCTTCCCATGTGCTTCACTGCGCTATGCTGTGACGCTGCCGCGGTACCGCAGTCGTTTAAAGGGCTTCAGCCAGCGGCCGCCCGGGGTGCTCACATCGCCTCTCCCTTCCCGGCAGGTGATGAAGATGGTGATGACCCTGACGGCGGCAGAGTCGGGCTGTATCCACTACGTGAAGCGCGCGGGGGCGGTGCTGGATCCCGGCTGCGTCATCGCGAAGCTGCAGCTGGACGACCCCAGCAGAGTCCAGCAGGTGAGTGCCGAGACAGCAGCAGCCTTGCACACCCGGAGACCAGCTGCGTCTGATTAGGAATGAGGCTGTTTTCCTTTTCGCAGGCCTGAGGGAACATGTTGAAAGCACAAATCGCATTGCAATAAATGCAAGCAAGAATTAGCAGTGGTAAAAGAAATGATATAGTGGTATATTTGAAAAATGAAATCTATTTGAAAACAGCTCTGTTTTATTTGGATACCGCATCCAGAACCTCCTGACATCTTGGGAAGAAAATAACTCATTAAGGTTTAAGCTGTTGGAGTAATCCCGCACAAGGTGCAGTGTAGTGCTGACGTGTGTGTATGTGTGTGTGCATCCAGGCGGAGCTGCACACTGGAGCACTACCCCAGATCGAGTCCCTGGCTCTGCGAGGAGAGAAGCTGCACCGGGTCTTCCACAGCACGCTGGACCACCTGGTCAACATCATGAATGGCTTCTGTCTTCCCGAGCCCTTCTTCAGTGCCAAGGTGATCCCCCCCATCCTCTCACCACCCCCCTGGTCACACGCTACAGACATAGGTCAGGCCCACTGTCACTTCACAGGCAGAGCACCCTGCACTCCCCGGTACACCTCGGTACACCTCGGTATGCCCTCGCCCCTCACTGGCCATGCCCTGCAGCAAGAGTGGTAGACCACAGTGAGGTGACCCGCTCTGTTGTTGCAGCTGAAGGAGTGGGTGGAGAGGCTAATGAAGACCCTGAGGGACCCATCCCTCCCACTGCTGGAGCTGCAGGACATCATGACCAGTGTCTCGGGCCGTATCCCCCCCGCTGTGGAGAAGGCCATCAAGAAAGAGATGGCACAGTACGCTAGCAACATCACCTCCGTGCTCTGCCAGTTCCCCAGCCAGCAGGTACTGCACATAGCAGGCACTGAAACTGTTAAAGCTAAGAAATCTACATGGTAATTTTGCACTTCATGGTGGTGGGAAATAACCTAGAATTAATTTCAATATATCAGGAGATGTAATAAATGGAGTAAAACATTAAAGACAGCCTTAAGAAAAAATTCTTAAGCAAAACATGGGTGTCATGTGCATGTTTGAGTGCATATGTTCATGTAAGTCTGGACCTTTGCTATTTTTCACTACGTTTTAACATTTTGTTTTTGTGGCATGTCAGTGCTTCTCTGTTTTCATTGCGCCTCACTGCGATATGCAGTGACGCCGCGGGACCAGATTGTTCTGAACAGCAGCTTTTGACAGTGAAGCCCCGTTCGGTGTCGAGTTCGGAGACAAGGGTCCTGCGCAGCCCGTGGTAGCCCCAGGTTAACACGTGCTCTCACGACTTGATCCGCGTGCTTTCAGATTGCCAACATCCTGGACAGCCACGCTGCCACACTGAACCGCAAATCCGAGAGAGAGGTCTTCTTCATGAACACGCAGAGCATCGTCCAGCTGGTGCAGAAGTGAGTAGCACGCCTGGCAGGACAAGACCTGGGGTGGAGGGTTCAGAATTGTGATTTTTTTTTATCAGCTTTATGAGCACTTTGATTGCTATCTGCCAGGATGGAATCCTTTGCCCCATCTGTCATTCCCCAGATTACAGACCCCTTCCTCAATGGCAGCATTTCTTTGGAAAGAAGAAGCAGGCGTACAGCACCAGGTTTTTAATTTGTGGTTTGAAGACACAGTGGTTTTGATTCCTCTGGGCCGTGCTTTTTGGAAAATTAACTGGAGTCTGTTTGGAGCATTTTTTTGTAGCTGAATAGAATCCTCTGTCTGTGGATCTGTTAGGAATTCAAGAAAGACTGCTGAAATAACCGCTTCTCTTCCAGTCCCTGGGCGTGCAGGACACTTGTAGTTATCCTTGTGGGTGTAATGACAGTGCTAAGACTCCGGCCCGTTCACCATGGTGGGATAACCACTGTGTCTGCGGCTCTGGCTGTTACTCTTGGTGGAAGTCTCTTGACTGTGCAATACACGCTGCAGTCTTCCTCAGTGAGGCACAGTTCATTGAGAGAGACATTTACACCGGTCAACCTGTCTCATTTTACCTCCGTCTTCCCATCTGAAGCAAAACACTTGACATGCATAAGTCTTTGGTTAACATTCATAAGAAATTTTGTATAATTTTTCACCACTAAACTTATGTCTATTTTATCTTGATAATAAAAAAACACAATGAAATCTTCAGACAGTATGTCACCAGTTCATAATGAAAGACTCCTCAAAGACATATTAAATATTTATTGACTTTGTAACATTAATATTGTGGCTATGCTTTATGACATTGGGCCTGTAGTTGATTGTCAGTTAGTTAAAAAAGACATAGCTGATTCACAAATTCCACTGGTTGTTTGTGAACATGTCTACATGACTGTGTCTCAAGCTGTCCCGAGCTCATTTCCTATTTGTCTCTCTGCCTCAAAGTTACCCCGAGCTCATCTCGGCTCGTCACCCTAAGCTCGTCTAAGCCCGTCTCGCTGCCCCAATTCTTCCTGTGCTCATCTCAGCTCGTCACCCTGAGCTCATCTCAGCCCCAATTCTTCCTGTGCTCATCTCAGCTCATCACTCTGAGCTCATCTCAGCTCATCTCTCTGCCCCAGTTCTTCCTGTGCTCATCTCAGCTCGTCACCCTGAGGTCATCTCAGCCCCAATTCTTCCTGTGTTCATCTCAGCTCGTCACCCTGAGCTCATCTTAGCCCGTCTCTCTGCCCAGGTACCGCAGCGGAATCCGCGGCCACATGAAGGCAGTGGTGATGGACCTGCTGCGCCAGTACCTCAGGGTGGAGGTGCAGTTCCAGAACGGTGAGACCCTGAGAGCAGTGTGCGTGTGTGTCTCTGACCTCCGAACCACACAATCGCACACTCTCACACGTGTATGCACACACAGTATTAAACTTAAAATAAGGTCCAAAGAAATTAAAAATATATATACAGTACCTAAGATAAGATCACTTTATTGGCCATATACAATTTATTGTATAAGGAATTTGTGTTTTCGTATACCCCAACTTGCTCCATGAGACACACAGACAGGGAGAGAAGCTTGGGGTCAGAGCACAGAGTCACCCATTTATACGGTGCCCCTGGAGCAGTTGAGGTTAAGGGCCTTGCTCAGGGGCCCAACAGAGTAGGCTTCCTCTGCCAGCCGCGGGATACACACCGGCAACCTTCCAGCCACAGGCGCAGATCCTTAGCCACAGAGCCACCACACAGCCACATGCACACATTCACATGTATAATACATTCACATACATATGCATTCACACAGGTGCACAATTGCACTCTCATACATGCTCATGCACACATGCGCACACCCACATGTAGCAATTCATCCACAGTTAAAAAGCACACGCCAAGTACTTGGGTGTTTTTTGGTGTGTATTTTTTTTTTAAGTTGTTGTTCGTGTGGAAGTCTCCAGTAAGTAATCATTTCTCAGAAATTACATTCTTTATGGTTTTATTTTTTTAGGTATTATTTCAAATTTCTTTCCCATCTTGAAGCCTTTACCTGACCATACAGATGTACTGTCCACGGTGCCTTTTAGATGATTAGATTAATTTAGTCACCTCCTTGAACTTACTCAGACCTGCTGTGTAAATTGCCTTACTTTGTGTTTTGTTAAAAACTCACCTCCTTCTACTGTCTGGTTGACAGTAATGGAGCAGTGGTATGCGTCTAATAATACAGTATACGTATGTGTTTACAAATGGCTCTGTGTGACGTGCACTGTGTGACCACATGAGGGCACTGTGTTTACAGTTTATGTCTCTTCTTAGCCCTGATTTTTCTTTACTCTGAATGTAATGTCCATGTTTTGCAGTGTTTCCCCTAAAAGAAGCATATCCTCTGGTTAAAAATAAATGACTTTAAACACATTTAATTTCATTACATTTTTTGTTAATTTGGCTCAAAGGTACTTCTGCCCCATTCATGGTGCTAAGTACAAATATTGTGGGTTTAAACAAAGCTAGTTCAGTGTGTGCAGCTCATTTGCTGAGACTCTTGTATGTTTGTGCCATGATTTTGCTCTTTACAGTTCTAAGGGTTTACTGCTGCTGCAGTTCTGTATTGTAGGGGCTGGTAAACTAAATCTGTCCTTCGATTACAGTGTTCTGTTTTTTCAATAAACAAATCACAGACAGAATAATGCCCTGACTGTAGTCTGTGTGCCTGTTTTTGTTGTTCTATGTTTGTCACCTGGCTGTAGTTTGTGTGTCTGTATCTGTTGTTCTCTGTGTGTTGCATGTCTCCTGGTTGTAATTTGTGTGTCTGTATTTGTCATTCTCTGTGTGTTGCGTGTCTCCTGGTTGTAATTTGTGTGTCTGTATTTGTCATTCTCTGTGTGTTGCATGTGTCACCTGGATGTGTTAGCTAGAGCTCCTGCTGACGTGTTTAATTGTGTGTGTCTCCAGGACATTATGACAAGTGCGTTTTCATGCTGCGCGAGGAGAACAAGGGCGATATGGCCAACGTCCTCAACTACATCTTCTCCCACGCCCAAGTTACCAAGAAGAACCTGCTGGTCACCATGCTGATTGTGAGTGCTGGCCTGCCTTCAGGGTGGTCTCTCTCCCCTACCCTGCACCACCCACACCAAGCTCCTCTCAGTACCATGAACCTGCTCTCAGATCAGTCTGTTTTTCGCTTTCCGTCCATTGTAATTTAGAAGAGGGAGCATTATAGCATGTCGCCAGAAAACAGGAACAAGTAAAGGTTAATCCCACACTGAAAAATAGAAAGGAGAAACACATCTCAGCTGCAGAGCCTTCTTCAGGTGAACCTCAGCCTGGAGGAAGGCTTTACGAGTTCCAATGCAGACGACTCACGCTACCGCTGATCCCCACTCGTGCATGCCCAGTAAAGATGCAAATATCTACTAAATAAAAAAAATAGACATTAAACGCAACCGGGGCACTATCCAGGCCCCAGACCAGCTGCTGATTTGTCATGGAGCTGAACTGCAGACCCCTTCCTTCCTCATCACACGGTAACTCTGGGTTATTTTGAGAAATCATAATTGGGAAGTGATATTGAGCTGTGTACTGCTCTCTTTTTCCCTTCTCTTTCGCTTCTCCCAGCCTGCGATTGTAAGTAAGGGTCGGTGTGTGCGAATCTCATTACTGCGACACAAAGCTGTATTTCCTAGGAGGCTTGTGAGGGAGCCGCGCGGCCCGGGCCGACTGGTTTTTCGGCAGCAATCAGGCCCCGGTGATGGGGAGGGAGAGTGGCAGCTGCTCTCCTGCTCAGCCCTTCAATTTCCTTCACAGTCCAGCCACTCAAGTGTGTAATTACATGGGGGGGCTTGTCGTGGAGGTGTGAGGCCTTTTCTGAGCAGAATTACCCACACTCCCCCCCCTCCCCCCCAGGCAGGTGAGGGTTTTGCTTTCAGCGGTCACAGCCCCCCCCCACCCCAATCTCCCTAAACCACTGCCAAGGCATTTTCTGGACTCCTAATACTCAACAATTCTATTTTTCACGTTGCTTCGGCGCTTTTTGTCTCTGTAGTTTTTGGTCTGGTATTATCTGATGGTGCTTGGGTACCATTAGAAATCACCAGGAGTGGCGTGGATGAAGACGCACTTTATATTCTGTCCAGGAGCAACACATCATTGTCTCATGGGGTCTTTTAAAATCCTATTGTTAGAATCAGGCTGAATAGTAATAGGAGTGAAAGGTTAAAAGGTGGTTCTTAAAGGCTTAAAGGTGAGAAATTGCTATGAGCTTTGCTGTGGGTTGTAGTTAGGGTGCTCCCTGATGTTCAGGACAAACCTGGATAAATACAAGCTGAATTTCTAAAGATGGAGAAGAAATAAAACCTGGAAAACCATGAAACAAATACTCATTATCATTAACAAGTGTGATTGGCTATGTACAGGGGAAGAAAGTTAATAACATCTGGCAACTTCCCCCCCCCCCCTTCCTTCTGGCTTTGCCCACACTCTCATCTTTCTGTCTCATCTCTGCATCTCCCCCCCTGTCTCGCACCCGCCCGGCTCCTGCTCCCCCTCTCCCCAGGACCAGCTGTGCGGCCGAGACCCGACACTGACGGACGAGCTGATGTCCATCCTGACGGAGCTGACCCAGCTCAGTAAGACCACCAACGCCAAGGTGGCGCTTCGTGCCCGGCAGGTGAGTCAGGTTGCCCAGTGCTTACCCCACCACCCCCCCCCCCCCCTCACCTGCCAGCCTCCCTGTTCCCCAGTGGCCAGGAGTGGAAACATCCCCCACCCCCAGCTCCGCTGTCTACGGGCTCTCCAGGAATCTCCTTCGTGGAGTATTAATGCGATGAATAAAACAAGAAAGCCCCCCCTCCACACGTGTCTGCGTGGAGGTAGTAAATGGTCAGAACTGAAGTCCTGATGTTATTTAACCCACGGTAGACTGCGCAGTCACCAGCAAAGCTAATGATAGACCTTAGGCTCAGCCATCCTGTTGGAGGACCCCGGCTCGCCGGGTCCTTTGAAGCCGTTCACTGACCCGCACTGGCGTCTGCCGGCAGGTGGGGGTGGGGGAGCACAGGGTACCATATTTTGTTTACAGCTGTTCCTTTCATCTGTCGCCGCCCCCCTGCCGCTCCATCAAAAGAATTCATTACAATTAACACATGGAGGCGCACAGGATGGTGGTGTGTGCGCCACCACGCAGGCCCGTGAGGAGAAGCCAGCTGTGCGCACGCGACACGAAAGGGAAGATATTTTCTGGAGCCTTTAAAAAAAAAAAATGCATTACTTTTGTGAAAAAAGGTTTAAAAGCATACAAATCCATTCTGCTGTGCATTAGTGATGTCTCCATTCTTCTGTCAGTAGGCAGACACATGAACAGAGGGGCAGGCAGTGCCAGCGTAGATGATCATGCTTCACAATGCGCGATAATTCATTTACCCAGCGATAAACTGTAAAGAACACACGCAGATGCTTAGTGGGTAGTGTTAATTGCAGTTAATTGATGTTGTAATGCATTAATTTCTAACTAACTGCTCTGTGTTTAATGAAACCTGACGTGAAATGAAAGTTTGACTACAATGTGACTCTGGTCCATTTGGTAATTAAATGGAGTGTCTTTGGAATAAAACTACTTCTACATCTTCTTCGTTCTGCTTTCTTCTTCATGTCCCCCTCTTGCTACTTCTCTTTCATCTTTTTTTTCTGAACAGTGACTCTCTAGAGTTTGCCTGCGGTTCAGTCCTCAGCCAGTGACAGACTAACACATGTGGCTTTCTCGAGTATACATTTTAATTTAGTTTTATAAAGCCCTTGTTGGATTGTGTTATACTGCCCTCTCGCGCCTTTACAAAGTCAGACCGAATGAGGGCGTCCTGTGTATTTTAAATAGAACAACAACTGCAGTCATCTTTAGTTCATATAGCAACTTTCGTGACCTCATATCAAGGTGCTTTAAAAAAAAAGCAGATATATTAAACATACAAACATACATGAATACACATTTTAATACAACAACTTCAACAGAATTAAAAGTGAGAGTGTTAAAATATAGGATTTACTCTAAAAGGGCCAGTTGATTTACAAGATCTGGACTGGGCTCTAGAGCGCATGAAGCACAGTCTCCCAGGGCCTTCTGGGTTCAGAGCCTAGATTTGTAAACGGATGGGAGGCCAGAGTCCACACAGCACAAATGACGTGATGCAGGTGTACACATGGGTCACGCTACACTGCGGTAGTCAGCGGCCAAACCTCTTAAGGCAAGCAGCAGTAGGTACGCTCCAGTGATCCCACCTCAAAGCAGATTGATTGCAGTATGTTAAGAGTTTGTTCCTCTTTAAACATTAAGCTTTATCCTTTTAAAATGCTTCTCCTGGATCACTTTAAAGGTATTTACTTAATTAGAATATGAAACTACCATATTGCCACAGTGATTTGTTTAACGTATCTAGAGATACAAATTTATGAAAAAGAAATAACTGGTGCATGTACAATATGTACCTATAGCATGTTGCCATGAGCTAATGTCACCCACTTCTCACACCTGCTCTGTCCCTCCAGGTGCTGATTGCCTCTCACCTGCCCTCTTACGAGCTGCGGCACAACCAGGTGGAGTCCATCTTCCTGTCCGCCATCGACATGTATGGCCACCAGTTTTGCATCGAAAACCTACAGGTAATGCCCCAGACATGCAGTGCGCTTTGCTCCAGCAAACACACACAATGTGGTGAGCTGTCACATCCCACATTGACGCACAGGGTTGTAAAAAATCAGGTGCTGCCCTGCCACTCTGTGATACAACACATTGCAATAGCCTGTGTAAATGCTCAGAGCAGCATTGCAACACAGAACACACCAGCATCCTAGACACAGCACAGTGCTCATGAGCATTATTGTGTTAAAAAAAACAGAAGTAAAGGCCTTGAAAGTATAACAAAATTTAAAGATTTTAACATGATGCATTATAATAAAGCAGAGACTGAAGCTCAGTGTTCACCCAGTGTTTCTTTGGTGTTTATTCTTTCCCATGCAGAAGCTGATCTTATCTGAGACATCCATCTTCGATGTGCTTCCAAACTTCTTCTACCACAGCAACCAGGTTGTCAGGATGGCCGCACTCGAGGTGAGAGATGGTGTTTTACACTGTGTCATTCCAAAAGGGGAGTCTTGCATTCAGCAGAGGCAGTTAATCTGGACATCCCGTTTTCCCTGGAGGTCTTTGCATGCTGATTGAACCCAGTTGATCCCAGAACTTCTTCATGTGTCCCTCTGGGATCCAGCACATTAAAGCAAATATGCCTACAACATATATAAAAGAAACTAGATAAAATTTGTCTTTGCATTTGGGGTATTTGTAATAACTGGACATAATAAAATCCAGCAAAAGCAGGCTGAGGTTGAAGGCATGGCCCTTACTCTCCAAGATGTCAGATGACCTCTCATTGGTAATATATCTAACCTTTGGCCATGGTGTTCTAGAATAGGGTTGTGTCTGGGATCTCTTTGGCTAAAATTGCATCGCCTTTATAACCAGTGTGTGACTTTCTGTGCAGTTGGTGATTGAGGTGCATCTGTTTCCTGCTCTCCAGGTATATGTACGCAGGGCTTACATCGCCTACGAGCTAAACAGTGTCCAGCACAGGCAGCTGAAAGACAGCACCTGCATCGTGGAGTTCCAGTTCATGCTGCCCACCTCCCACCCCAACAGGTACCCAGTCTGCCCGGTCCCACTAGGTTCTGCTAGAGTGGCATGGGGGGGGCTCAGTTGGAGAAACACAGCTAAAGGCATTGCCACCTCTCTGGCCACGGTAGTGCCCACTGTGCATGAAGAAAGCCAGTGTCTATGAGCCCTTGACTTGAGGGTCAGAATTCAGAAAATGTTTTGCGTTGCAGTAAGGTAGTACGTTTATTTTAAATTTTGCATTGATTGTTTTCAGTTTCATGCAAAACTCTGAATGCTCTGGAAGAGTATTTGGGTTTTTGGTGGGGTTTTGATTTGCAATATTTGGTTATTTTTCTTTACCCCAAAACAAAGTCCTGCGAACGCAGTGTGACAGCAGAGCACTTTAGAAGCATTGTGCTGCATCATGGCACAGCTATGCAACAAGAATGCTGGCTTTCTGAACTGACTTCAGCCCTGTTGACCACTTCCCGTCTTTCTGTTTTCCTGTGTTCTTTTTTCACCTTATATTCCCACCCCACCCCCACTTTCTCTTGCCCTTTCACCATCTCCTTACAACACACCTTTATCTACTGCACTGACAGTCGCAGCTTTTAAACTTCTCTCTTAGAAATATACAGGCTACTAGAGCATAAGTATTGAAAAAGACTAGCACTGATGCACTGCACCAGCAATCAGCCGGGTTCCCAAGAGAAATGTGTTAGCTAATGACCAACTTCAGCATGCTAGCAGCAATCCCAGCACATCACAGCCTGACACTGAGAAATATAATAGACTAGTGAAGGATCTGTCTCATTGGTCAATGCCTATTCAAAATAGCCTCATTATAATTGCTGTTGTATTTATATGATCTCTTTTCTTACCTTGGATCCAAGTATGTGCCCCATGTTTGTTTATATTTTGCATTGTGTTCTTTCATTTCTCACTCGCTGTCCACTGTTGTCCCTGCGCAGTCTGACTCTGCTTTGATGTTGTTTCTGTTTATTTGTTGGTGCATTTGTTTTCTCGCATCAGTGTTTTTTAAACATTCAAGCCCCGGCTTGCAGGCAGAAAAAGCAATGGCCTGTCAACTAAAGCATGCATTTGCATGCACCTGGCTTAATCTATTCAAATCTCGGCTGAATGGCACCCTGTCTGGAAAAAAAAACCCAGCTTCCAAAGAAAACACTGAGAAAAGAAAGAGCAGTGCAGGAATATGATGTTAAACAGAGCCAGAGTGTTACTGTGATTGCATGTGATGAAGGATCTGTCATTGAAGAAGAGTGTGTGGCCAGCCACATAGTGCATGACGGAGCTTCTTCACTTCGGCAGAGTGAGCCATGTGATGGACAGTAGACCACAGCATACATTACAGTGGACAATGGTTAAACATGTGGAAGCCTAAGGCAGTTGTATTCACTTCATTATCAGTCTATCTGCATTTTGCAATCATGTGATTCATTGATAAATTGTAGAACTACAATTACTAAGTAGTTGGAGAACAGCGGGTTTATACCATTAGCTTTTTTTTTAATTCTCCTGCTAAGAATGTCTTCGAACTTGGAATGATTTTTTTTTCATTCCATTAAAAGCTGTGAGCTCTGCTGCAATCATATACTGACTGGCATTAAAAACGCAGCAGATGATACTGGTTCCAGTACTCATTTGATGTGTTCCCAATACTTCTCAATATGCGATCAAATCTAATCCAGTAACTGGCAAACTGGCAAATTTAACCAAGGCAAATTGGTTTTACTCATCCTCTTTTTTTCAGAAACAGAGCAAAAAAACAGCCTAAAACAAAACATCAAAAATATCCTAAAAAGTGGGTTGTACCAGATGTATAAGGTTGATTGCCAACATAAACGGTACTGTATACAATTGCCGACAGGAAGATAGTATGCATGTGCAGTATATATTCTCTGAGTAAAGGTAGAGCTGACCATCACAGGTAGGTTGGCCACACACCTCTTCAGAGCCTAACTGTATCCAGCTACAAAACAGTTGCCTGCCACTAACCAAACAGTAATTAATGTTGTTTGATTACAGAGGGAACATCCCCACTCTCAACAGGTATAGTACAAATTCTTTCTACTGCAATTTAGTAGGGCCATAGGCAGTGGGGGGGACATTACCTCTAAAAAGTAATCCATTCAAGCTACATGTTACTTGTATGAGGAATACTTTTTTAAAACAAATAAGATTTTTTAGCAAATTGCTTCAAGATGTAATGTATTATTATTTTACAGTAGTGATAGCTGTGTGTACTTCATAGATCTCTGTAATGATGACTTTTTAACATGATATTCAAAAATTTAAAAAATGTAATCCCTTACATGGTTTCTGTAGCTTGTAAATGTCACAGGTTACTTTTTATAGGTAACTTTCCACTGCGTTTACCATAGATAATTGCCAAGATTCAATATTAATTCAGCAACATAGTCAAACCTGCATGGAAGATGCCTTTCAGAAACAGATAAGCAGACTGTGGCTCTCGCTGTTAACTTTGAGTTTTGTTGATGTTATTGATTTCTTGCTACATTACAATGAATGCTTGGTATCAGTGGGCTATTCTTTTATTCTATTAGTTTTTTTTTGCTTCCCATATCTCAAATGAAATAAATAGCCTTTGCATCTCCCCCAGTGTCCAATAGGTTGCCAAATCTCATAAAACAAGACACAAGCATTTGTGCTCAGAGCTATCTATCCTGAGGCCACGCGTGGTTCTGTAGTTGACCATTTCTTTAATAAATAATAATAATTAATGTTATTGTTTATAATGTTGTTGAGTGTACGTACCCCAATCTACACAGTACGCAGAATATGTGTTTTTTTCAGAGGCAAGAGGCCTCTAATTAATTTGTTATGAAGTGCCCTCAGCGAAAAAACCTGAACCACCATCTCACATCAGTAGAAAGGAGGTTAGCAAGATGATAGGCACCAGGAAACTGGAAACAGGGCTGGGCTAGGCTGTGGTGTCTTGTCTAGAGCCTCCTCAAGCACTGCCTGTCATTTTGCAGCAGTGGCACAGTATAGGACCGCTCCCCCCGGGTGTTCAGAGACTCCCTAGCCTGAGCCCTGAGAGTCTTCAGTGCCGGATTTGACTGTGCTGCTGATCAGGGTTTCCTTTAGTCTAAAACATAGCAGTCCCTAATGGAACTACAGCCTAGTGAACAGTGATCTCGCACTGTACTATTGTAACTGCTCATAGCAATAGCATGGCTTCCAACAGCACACTGGTTCAATGCTCTGATGAGATGTGTGTGTATTTGCCTCTCTGTATGTTTTCATTTGCTATAGTTTTCCAGTGACAAAATACTGCAGCAACATTTTAAGCTCTTTTATGAAAGGTTACTATCAATAAATCTATTAGTTTAACGTATTTACAGAATGTTCGTATTCGCATGTGTCCCTCTTTAGACGGCTGCATCATGAGCTCCTGTATCAGGCCTAGTGTTGAGCTCTGTAGTCAGTAGCTCTGTTGGAGTGAGTCAGTGGATACGAGCTGCTGGCTTAAGCAGTGTGAGAGCTGCCACCAGTCATGATGCCTTTGAAGGTGTGGGGGATTCAGCAGTGAGTCCGACAGCGCTGAGGAGCGAAGGTGCTCTTGGAAGTCCCCTGGGTCTCACTCATTTGTTATTTTAATCCCTGTGACGCTGTCTCCTTGGGCACCACCAATTGCAGCTCAAATTGTGTTGCAGCGGGGATTTCTGTTGAAATGCATCTACAAGCATGCCGCAGCATGTGAGCAGCTTTGCTGCGACACAACTGCCATGCCCAGAGGGGCAGGGCATTGCCTCCTCCAGCAGCAGGCAGGTTAGGGTAGTTCATCTGTGCTCATTTTGTGTGTACAGAGCGTCTCCTGCAGCCTTTGTACTGTCACTACATTGCAAACCTCTCTCTAGAGACATGTCTGGGGTCAAGGAGAACTGGAGACCTTCCAGCTACCAAAGTGCCTGTACACATGGGGGTAGCTACTAATGAATAGTTATTCGTTAAGGCAGACAGAAAATACTTTGATATAGAAGTGATATGTGTGTCTAAAGAGATTCTGAGGTGATAAATGAGTTACAGGGATGCAAAGCTTAGTGTATTAAAAAAAAAACAGCAACAACAGTGAACCAATCATTTCTGATTAAGTGGAATTTGTGTCCTGAAACCTACAGAAGTCCTGTGGGGTTGTTCACCTTTGAGAAGGGCAATGACGGGAGGTCTCTCCCAGCTGACAATGCAGGAGACAGTGGAAGAAAACAAATTGTGGCTTAATAACAAAAACCTGTCAAATACATCTACAGTCATGTCTTCAGTTGAGACGTTGCTTGTTGTGTAAAGGTATAGAAAGGACCGGAGTGGCTTCTCTTTCAATTGGAAACTGTTGTTATTGGATGTGACTTGTAGCTCAGGGGGAGTCTCGGAGCAATTGCCCCTCTGGGGAGACTCCTGTAACTCCAGCAGGGCAGGGTGAGAGGGTGTTGGGGTAGGCTGGCAGAGATGGGGGTGGTTAGTACTGTCTGTGGCTCGATCTGCAAGGCTCTAACAAGCTCTCCGTGTTGCGACCCCAGAATGTCCTTCTCTTCCAATCTCAACCACTACGGCATGCTCCACGTGGCCAGCGTGAGCGATGTGCTGCTGGACACTTCCTTCACTCCTCCTTGCCAGCGCATGGGTGCCATGGTCTCTTTCCGCTCCTTCCAGGACTTCATGAGGTGAGCCATACTGCCCGGGCAGACCTAGCTCCTTTTCTGTGCTAAAGCACGTTTCACTCTTTCAGCCAAGGAGGGCAGCCTCTACAAGCTGGTGTAAGAACAACTTCCACTTGTACAAGAGCAGTTCATTCCCCAGAGCCTTCTGGGGAATGTGGTTCAGGCAGAAATCTTCGTCGTGCCTGAGCCTTCTGCCATCTTCCACACTATACGATGCAATGCCATCGGAAGACACTCTGGGCTAGAGCTGATAACTACAGAGTAATGCCTACAGCTGCAGAGATGGAATTGTTACTCAAAACTGCATTCCAAAAGACAAGTTCTCAATCTAGACTTAAAGAATGGAAGAACAAAGAACACCCTTAACATCAACTGGTTTCAAAGCCATATGAATATTTGTAGATATCCTTTGCTTGGCTCAAGCTTTAATATGTATTGCATAAGAACAGAGGGAAAGATTATTAACAGACGGGAGGAGACAATTCAATCAGGTTTAGCTCATTTGGTTGCTGGTAGACCTGAGCATCCCCTCCTGTTGCTTCTCGAAAGAAACCAGAGTATCTGCTTTGACAGCATGTCTGGGGAGTTGAAGCTCCTGTGGCATTTTGAGAGCTGCCTACCCCGTGGAAAAAGAAAATCACCAGATAAAAAAAAACAACAAAACAATGTTTAAGAGTGGTATGCAGACACTGTTTAATATCATAATTTCATTTTGAAAGCCGCCCTGTGGTCTTCTTGGATTTAAATGTGTTAAACGTGTTGTCCATGCTGTGCTGTTCTGTCTCATTCAGGAACATTAATGATGTAATGAGCTGCTTCTCTGACTCCCCGCCTCCCAGCCCCACTTTCCCCGAGGGGGGTCACCCTGCTCTGTATGGAGAGGAGGACAGTAAGGTGAGGTGACACATGTAACCACCTGTAACACCTTTCATAGAAAAAAAGTGCTTAACACCTAAGACATAAGAGGGGACCTATTCCACCTAGCACTGCCTGCACAGAAGATCAGGTGGAAGAAGTTACACATTTCTATACCATCTGAGTTAAGGGGCAGCTATGCCAGATTGTGTAAACCCATATTGAAATTAGTCCAGGACTCTGGCCATGAGATCTTTAATGATTTCGTCTTAACAATAGCACTGCCTAGATCCCAGATCATCATCCTACAGTTGGTCATTGGATTACAAATTGTGATCTAGAAGGGAGAGCATCACTTACTGCTTCCAAAGTGCCATTTATAGCAGCATCCTGATGTTTATCAGTGGACTCCCATTCCAGTACTAATAAGGCACAGTGGTGTTAAGGTATTGAGATCTGGTAAAATCGGGGTACAATGTGTAAAGGCTGCTGTGAAGAAAAGCAAATCCCTTCATAATGTCCCATCTTTTTGTAACACATTTAACAAAATTCCACTACATTCAGCAGAGTATTCTTGGAGCCAGATCCCCAGGTGAACAGCATGTTTGTCTTACAAATACCTATATCAAGAGCTGTTCACATGATCTCATTTTAACACCAATGTTTTATTACCCCATGTGCAAATATTGACATCAATCTGTTTTCACTTAATATTGCACCAGTGTATTTCCACAGCAGCCTGGAATTAAGACCAATGGATTTGTTTGGTACTTTTCAACCAAACTGAATTGTATTGTGTTGTGTATGTATTGAGTATTCATAATACTCTAGAAGTATAAATTCTTGTGCTTCTGATATATACTGCATCTTAGTACTAAAAGAACTGTACGTATTTTTACTTTTGCTTTTTAAAGTGAATAATATAGTGTTTAAGAGCCAAAGTAGGCTTAGAAGACCGAGGACAGTTAACATTTTTCTAATGCATACCAGTTGATCGCAGGATGCTTGCATCTGTGCAGGCTGGAAACTGGACCTCTTGCAGAAATTTCACTTGATGGAAAGTAAAAAGAATGTAAATGCATTCCTGCATTAAGTTGCTCCTAACAAATGTGTTTGAAACAAAGAAGTAGATTACAGAACAAACATGGTGATAGCAGGTGGATGAGTAAGTGATGAGTGAAACTGTGGGACTGGGGGGCTTGGCAGGAGGGCGCTGAGGGTCTCTCCCCCCATCCTGCCCGACTTTCCAGCCCGCACCCTGCCATTTGGCTTCATTTAAATGCATTTCCCTACTGGCTTGTTACAGCGGTAATATCGGAACACTGGCATTATCCCTCGTCTGTTTGAAATTGCAGAGCGTGCGGGACGAGCCCATTCACATCCTGAATGTGGCCATCAAGACCGACGGCGACATCGACGACGACGGGCTGGCCGCCATGTTCAGAGATTTCACTCAGTCCAAGGTGAGCACTGCTCTCCTGCTGCTGGGTCCGTTCGAGCGGCACGAGAGAGGCGTGGTTTGCCGGAGAAGCGGGTGAATGATTGCTTGATCCCCAGGTGCGCCTTGAGGTGGTCGCAGGGAGCCAGAGGCAGCCTGCCTCACAGTGGCCATTGCTGTGGCATGCTGGGCAACTGCGAACTTGCACGGCCACCTCATGCCCCCACGCGATTCGGACTCGGTTGCTGGCACTGCAGGGGCTCCTTTTGCCAACAGTGGGCGGTGGCGGAACATGCATGTTTAGGTGAAAAGGTGTGCATTGTAGTCAGCCCCTCCTGAGTCATTGTAGCGGGAGGCAGACAACTGGTGATTCTGTGTTGGGAGGATAAAATAACTGCAGATGTGTGGGGGGTTTAAAACAGAAGAATCACTGCTTAGTCACCATTAGTGATTAATCACCATTTTGCAGGTAAAATGAAGGGAAATTGTTCTAGTTGCAAGGATTGCAAGGGAATTATTCATATCTTTTCATGTTTTTAGTTTTTTTTTTGTTGTTGGTCCCATTCAAATTACAGAAATCTGTTTTTAATTGAGAATAAATATTGCCTGATTGCTCCATTGGAGTGGCCTGACAACTAAAAGGAAAATCGATGCATGAGCTCCCTTCAATCACCCACGGTCAACACCTCAGCTCAGTTCGAATAGCTGCTCAGCGTAGGTCTGGTATGAGGACAAGGAGGCAGGGAGAGCGATGATTTCTCTCGGATGCAGCTCGGAAACTGTCTGCTTTGCACAGGAATATGGTAGGCTCCACACTAAGAGGATTACTGATTTCAGAAAGGTAGCCGTCACTTAATTGCAGGCTTACCGCCCCATAGAAAAGCGGAGCAATCAGACTGAAGTCATTTCCCAGCCCATAACATGCTGAAGAGACCACATTTGGCGGAGTCTGTATTTACTCTCTAGATATGCTTGCATTTATTTCTGTCCAACGTGCATGTCATTTTTTATCAGAGTAGTGGGGTTTTAAAATGGTTTACATGTTCCTTCCTTTTAATCTCCTTCAGCAGTGAAAAGGTGCCTTCATCTTGTATTATTGAAACACTGTGATCTTCTCTCCTTCTGTGGAACCTGTTACTCATGGTTCATTTTTGACTCCTGAATTTGTTTGTAAGAAATAGTGGAACCAGAATCCTTTATTTTTAATATAACCTTGTGCATTTGGCTAATTCAGACACACTTTATGAATAGTGGTTTTCTTTAAAGATGCACTATTTCGTTGTCTACAGCAGGTTGCACCCTGGCTATTAATCTAAATGCAAAAATATATATTTACTTCAAATTCAGACCTCGGGGGTCGTAATCCTATTTGTCTTTCTTCTTTTTAAATCAAAATAAAAAGAGTTAAAAGCATCCAAAGAAAAAATAAAACCTGCAAAAAAAAACAAAACATAATAACTGGAAAGCTACTCAGTAGGCTAAATTCCCAGCACAGAGTAAGAGTACAGTACATAGAGGCACAGCAACAAAGATGAATACTGTGCTGAGACACAGACAAGGCCAAATGGCCTTTTAGCCCAGTGTGTTCTTTGCAAAATTAGGATCATATCACTCCCAACAATTCCCCCAACAAGTCTGAAGCAGTTTGAGTAAATAGAGTTGCTCCAGGTAACTGATGACCTAATCTGACCATAATAACCCGAACCACGCTGCTTGATTTCCCTGCTGTTGATAACACAATGAGAGCAGCACGGAGTCGCCCATCATTATCTGACACTTGTAGTCTGATTCGTCTCAGCTGAGGCGGGAGCTGCTGTCGTGGGAGAGCTGAGAGAGCCTGCTGCTTTGTGTTTGAATGTGTGTCTGTCTGTTGGCATGAGGGGGGTGAGGGCGAAGTGTCTGGCTCACACCTGTACGCCCCTGTCCGATCACGGCTGGCTCAGGGTGCAACTCGAATGAGCAGCACCTGTCCTGGCCTCCAATCTGCTGGACGCAACAGCTTTACTGTATCTTTTGACTTGCTGTAGTAACAGTACAGAAAAAATGCATGGCGGAAAAGCAAGCTTTTTGAAAGCGCAACCGATTGATTTAACTTCCCTTGGGAGCAAGGGTTTTTTTCCTATGAAAAATGTAGATAAAGTGAAACATATTTTTTTTATATCATGCAGTATGATTGTATGTATTTGCAGGACTGGTGTATAAGGTAAACAGTTTGTTTCAAGTTGGGATATTTCCACCATCAGAGGGGGGCGCTAAAGTCTGATTCCTCGAGCATCAACAGTGCATGTTGTGAAGCACAAGTACCATGGGGCTGCTCTGTCCAGTCAGTTGTGCCATCTCCCCATCTGTGAATGGTGTGTTAATTAATGTCTTTCTTTTTCTCCAGAAATCGCTGCTGTTTGAACATGGAATCCGTAGGCTGACATTCCTGGTGGCTCAGAAGGTGACTATGACATGCATGCCCTAGGCCTTCAAATGCATTCAAAATCAGAATAAACAACACATTTTTTGCTTGTTATCCTTGTGCGGATTACCACTGAATTATTGATCTGAACTGTAATTTTAAAGTAAAACAATATTTAAATGTTCAAATTTTGCTTGATTTTGTTCTGTAATTTGCAGTAATTTCGCTACTCATAGCTAGATGTGCTCTGTCTCCTGTCTTTCTCCTCCGTCTCTTCTGTGCTGAAAGGATTTCAGGAAACAGGTGAACTGCGAGGTGGATCAGAGATTCCATGTGAGTATGACAAGAGGGCAGCTGCCTCATGGTGCCAGTGTCTGCACAGTTCAACTATAAAAGTCCCTTGCCTATAGTGCGTTTTACTCACTGATCTCTCACACATGTTCCTCCTCTCCCTTGCTTCCCTCGGGTCTCCAATGGCCTTATTCAGACAAACCATCACACTTTAAAGTTGCTCTTCTATTTTTTGCCCCCTTGATTGAAAACAACATGTTGAAATAATTTCGAGTAGTTACTGCGTCAGTATGCATAGGCTGCAAAGGAACAGATAAAGGAAAAAACCTGCTGAAAAGAAAAGAGACGTTTTGGCTGTGGAGCCCTCTTCAGGTGTGTAATTTTAATCCATTCAGCAGTTTGCCCCATCCTTTAAATACTGTCGCTGTGCTGTGAATGTAGTACGATGGAAATAACTTTTAAGGGCATTGATCACTGGAGGCCTGTGTTGGGGGTGGGCTGGATCTCATTAAAGGCAACCAATCTAAACCAAGTCACAGTCTACAAAATGCAGCAGAATTTGTAATATGTTTAAGCACTGTTAATTTATTTGAATCAAAAGTTATCAGGTCATTTTGGATAACACTTTATCCAAAAAGGTGAGGGTGCAAATGAAGAGTACTGTTTTAGGATAGGGTCTGACATTCCCCAACCCCACCTCCCCCGCCTCGACACATAAGCTCAGGGTCCACTGAATGGCTGTGTAAGAGCGGTGTTTCATCTGCCCATCACCTTTCACTTTTCAGTTTTATTGTTCTAATGCCAGGCCAAGCTATAACATATTGACAGCTGGGCACCATTTTCTTGGTGTGACTCCCTGGGCTGTGGCAGCAGACACTCCACAGCTACAGAGATGTGAGCGCTGGCACAGTACTGCTTGTGGGTTTTGCTGTTGGCACCACTTGTTGTGCCCAGTTTATCGCTGGCGGCGGACTGCAGCCCTGTTCCGGGAGAGCCCCACTCCAGTTATGTTTATAGGTCACCCTAACTCAACTGATATTTCAAGATCTGCATCACTTGTTTGAGCAGTTGGTTATGTTTCAATAAAGAGAACACTGATACCTGATGGCTGAAAGATTCCAGATGATCTCTAAATTTCTTAATTGAGCACACCACCTGCTTAGTTGATCACAGTTAAATTGTTCCAGGCCTTCGAAATTGATGATTTAAAGGCTGCCTATAAAACTTGCCGGACCAGAGCTGGAGATCCCTTATCTAAGCATACTCAAATATTTTGGTTTTAAATCTAACAGCAACATTAATCCTAACTCTACCTATCATCCTAACCTTGAAGTTCAGTCCATATATACAAAAATCCCAGGTATATATCTTGACAATATTCAAGATTGGACAAGCACCTGGTGGGCATTTGTTCACCATTTTGTTTACAGTGCTACTGAAAAGATAGTTCTGCTCTCAAATCATTCCAGAGAAGAGCCCACAGTTCCAAGCTTATAGGAGCATGTTACTTTGATATTCTAATCTTTTTAGTTTTGAACAGAAGATAATAGCACAGAATTCAATCCAAAATCCTCAAGGACATTGGCAAAGTCAACCCAGTGGGCTTCCTCAGAAAAAAAACATCTGCATTAGATCCTCAGATCAGTGAACTATCAGCAACCCAATGAGCTCGAGATGCTGAATGGCCTCCTCTCTTTGTAACCTCTTTGTTCTTGTGGTGGCTCTTGTGCCAACACACCCTCTCTGTGAATCCGTGTATCTGCCGTAGAAATCCTCGTGTGCTTTTGTTCGGAGAGGGCGGACAGGGCGTTGCTCATCAGCTCCCGCTTTATTTCCCTTCAGGAATCTGGATACATGTCAGACATTCCTCATTTTCTGCCCTAATTCTGGGATTACTGCCTTTTGCCCTCATTTGATTAGACAAGAGCGGGCCTTGATTACAATGAGACAGATTTGTTTCACAGCCCTTGGAGATAATCACTGCCGTCATTGTGTCCCTCCTAATTATAAGGTGCCTCTGATAAAAGAGGCGCTCGGTTTCCTCATCACCCCCCCCCACCCCCACCCCCAAATTAAATCCTATTAAACTGTCCTTTTGCTCTTCTGTATGTTTTTCTTTCATTTTAAAAATCCCCTCTCCCGCTGACTTGACTGCATTGAGGAAGTGGATTATTGACGCACTCCACCTCAACTCTTTTCTCCCACCATTCAAGGAGGGGACTGATTGTTGTGCATGGGTGTCGTGTGGCGTGTTTGGAATGGGACGAATTGCAAATACAAATTGCTGAGAGTTGGGTGCTCTGGCTTGGCACTGGTACAAAGCCTCTTCTTTCTTCGCAGTAATGAAAATTACAGTGCACTGATGCTATAGTGCAGGCAAATAACAGTGTCTGCTTCGCAAAGCAAGATGCCTAAGGCTCGCTCCAATTCTGGCGTGCTCCAGCACAGTCGCACTTACCTCGCGTGTAGTTCGGAGCCAGGGCAATCAGCCCATTCGGTTATTTATCTTTCCTGGAAGCCTTTCATGTCGTGATGCTGAACGCCTGCAGTTCTCCTTTTCCATCCCGAGTTCCAGTACTTCCAGGCTTCTTCACATATAAGGAACAGGAGAGGTTTCAATTGGTGGAATCCATTTATTGAACTGCTTTTATCTAATAATAAACTAATTCATTATAATTTACTTTAAAACTGCCATTGGAAAATCAGTGCAACATTAAGTAAATCTGAGTCCTCTTACAATTATATCAACATCTGTGAATGTTAAGGACATACTGATGTACAGCAGACCAATATTTTATTTTCCCAAAAAATACGCAGTTTCGCTGAAACTGAACAATTTAGAACTTCTGCCAACGGCGCGTGGATGTGAATACGCCGAGTCGGTTTATTGAATTAAAAAACGTTGCCGCCCGATGGAATTGATGGGCCGTGCTGAGATGTACCTGTTCAAAATACTGTGCTGAGCTGGTTTTCACCAAAACGGTTCTTCATTTTTTTTGGAAGCATTCCGAGTGCGACACTCCAGAGCTTTTTACCTGGCGCCCTCCCTGGGTTTCCTTTTTATTTACAGTCTTGCTAATTGCCGCACAGCGAGGCTGTAGCAAAGGAGTTTGCGACGGCAGTCACCCAATTTTCTGCCGGCGCTGGGTCGTTAAACGGTATTATTAGGATAGCTCTCACCACGGTTTCTTCCAAATCTCCTGGTTCGCGGGGTGCCACGTCAGGCTCATTTAAGGGAATTATTCTGATTGTTTCCATAACGGTGATCAGATTATAACCCAGCAGGGCCCCCGTGCCCCTGCGTGGAAGGTCTAGCTCCGCAAATATTTGCTATTTGCTTTTAAATTGAACTGAAATTAAGGGCTGCGAGGGAGGGACAAGGGGTGGCGTTCTCCGCTAACCCATCCATTAACATTTCCTGCCAAACTTTTAATCACAGTGCATGCTTGATTTTAATAACAATTAATAACAATGGTAATAATAATTATTTGCATGTGTGTGGCACTTTTCCATTTCTGTTACGTGCAGAAGCCCCACTCCACAGCAGCTCAGATGGAAAAATGAGAAATTGGTTCACCAGTTAAATGGGGGAAGTGTAGGTATTGGGTGTGCTGCAGGCTAAAATGAGTTATGGTCTGGACATCAGGGTTAACAGCAGTGCCAAGGGAAATTCACTGGCCAAATAGTCAGGACCACAGTTTAATATGTCATGTGAAGTAGAGTACAGTGCCACTGCAAGAGACAAATTATTTGACTTTTTTTTTTCAATTTAAACTTAGAGCTTACCTTTTTGTTTCAAGTGCCTATGTTTGATTGTCTTACAGTTTATCCTGTATGTTCTTGTTTCATTTTTTTCCTTTAACTTTTCATTGTATTTTTTTCCTCTTTTCCATCTTTCTGTCCAACATCCTTGTGTTTGGAAATGCGCTTTATTAATAAAAAGTGATTATTAGGCTATTGGAGATCCTCTTTCCTCTGGACCAGAGACCCCTGCTGGCTAGCTAGCAATGAATACAGCAGCAAACTGATTTTCCTTAGAGGTCTCCCATCCCTGTACTAACCAAGCACCACCTTGCTTAGCCCTGGAGTTCTGTCAAGCCCAGGCTTCATGGTGATAACGCTGTTGTTTAACCCACCTGCACTCTTCTTTTGGTCAGCTTCATCCCCTTCCCCAGTTCCTCACATTTTGGAGGGGGGGTTGGGGGTTGGGGTTGTTTTGGGGGTTTTTTATTTGGCCTTAGGCCTTCGTTGTTGTTTTTTTGTTTTGTTATTCTTTTTTTTTTCTGATTGTCATAGCTATGCACATATTCTGTTTTTTTGTGTGTAGTGTGAGCTCTATCCTGATTCTGTTTTAGGTGGAGGGTAGGGCCTTTATTTTTGCCTACAGTTTTATTTTTGGGGTTGTGCGTGCGAAGGGGATCATGAAAAATAATGGTGGTATTGCTTTATAATGATCTGCCTTTTTCTCTTGTCTTATTGCCTTTTAAACAGAGAGAGTTTCCCAAGTTTTTCACCTTCCGTGCGAGAGACAAGGTAAGTGGGTTACAGAGCCCTCTGTTTGCAAGACACTCCTCGCATGTCATTACTTTACCAAAATGCTTTGCATTGCACCCACGTTCAGTTTGATTTAGCCTCTCCGTGCTGGTTTCTTACATGGGGTTTGTGCACAGGGGTGATTTTACTAAAACAACACCAGAGGCTCTTTGTTTGTATAGATGTGGGACTCTGTTTGTTCCAAGGCACTTCAAAATTGAACAAGGAAAGGCTGTTTAAAGTGCAAGGCAAAGTAAAAAAAAAAAAGGCCTCATTAAAATCAGAAAGGCTTTTTTGTTCTTCTATTAGAATTTAAAAGCACTGTCCTGCACTGGATCCTGAGGTTGAGGGTAAATAATGTGCAGCTGAGCCAACATGCAGGAAAAATAACACAGACATCTTTGAAGTCCTTCTCTCTAAACCCACTAAGAGAAACAAGCAGGTAAAGCATGGAGATCTCCAGGGTGATGCTGATGTTCTAAGCAAGTGTCAGGAAGCAAAAACAAATGTGTTGCAGGTTTAGTGTGCCACTGTTTTTTCAATTGGAAGTAATAAGAATAATTATTTCATTAATTGGAGAACAAATAAATATCAGTGTGAATTTAGTGGCTGCTGTGTCTTTTGATTAGTTTAAGGGCTCACTGACTAACCAGACAATTCTCAGCCGCACGATAAATGGAACGGGGACTGTGCTGAATGGATAAAGGTTTACTAAATATAATTACTGTAACGGGAGAGTTGAGAAAACAGTGGAGTTTCTCTCGGCAAGGCGTGTTTGCCAGGTTTTTCCTGGGTGTGTAAAAGCGTGAAGGGGGCTTTATTGTACTTCATTGCCCCTGCCCTCCCAGTCAGAACCTGACACTGCTCCATGGGCCACTGTGTGTCTTGATCTATGATGGCTCTTTCCTTCCCTGAGCTCTGGTTGCTCCTCTAAAAGTGCCTGACTCATTACAGTAATGAACTTTATAATTATTTCCCCCTCGGAGAGGAATGACTCCCATTAATAGGATGTGATTGCCTTTTATTTCATTTACTTAGCCCAGCCTGGTAGCTTGTGGGCATTTTCCATCTCAGTAACCCTGCTATTCTTCAAAAGGACTTTTTTCCCCCTTCCGTTAAAGACACAGCCGTATCAGTTTTCCTCCTGGAATATTTGAGTGCTTTCTTTGACTTTGTGCTCCAAGATAGCACGGTCTAGGACCCGGGGCAAAGTGTTTTGTGATTAAAAAAAAATTTTTTTCAAGCTTTGCCATGATAACTTTCCCCTTATCCTCGTGTCTGTGCCTGAATCTGGGGTTAGGGGAAGGGCAGAGGAAGAAATAGCCTAGGCTGACTTCAAGGCTCTTTGCCACACGTAGGAATGGGTAGGCTCTACACTAAGAGGATTACCGACTTTAGAAAGGTAGCTGTCATTTAATTGGAGGCTTACTGCCCTGACAGAAAAGTAGAGCGCTCATTCTGAACGTATTTTCCAGGCCATAACATCCTGAAGCCACAACCCACAGTATGTGTTTCTTCTATCTCGCGTTTTTTTACATTAAAGTACACTTTCACATTCTACCTGGATATGCAGTGTCAATCGGCGGCTCCAGCCTCACCGGGTCCCCTCTCTCCCGCAGTTCGAAGAGGACCGTATCTACAGACACCTGGAGCCCGCGCTGGCCTTCCAGCTGGAGCTGAATCGCATGCGGAACTTTGCCCTGACCGCCATCCCCTGCGCCAACCACAAGATGCACCTGTACCTGGGCGCCGCCCGCGTGGAGGTGGGCATAGAGGTCACCGACTACCGCTTCTTCGTCCGCGCCATCATCCGCCACTCTGACCTCGTCACCAAGGTGAGTGAGTCGCTGCCCGAGCGGTCCTGACAGCGACCTAGTCGTAAATTCTCCCAGGTTACGCTTGACTGCTGGTCTGTCCCATTTCTACGCAACTCTGAATGCTTGGTTTGTCATTTCTGGCTCCAGAGATGACTTGGGATGTCGTTTTAGACTGTATTAGTTTGGGGAGTGGGGGGCAAGAGGGTGGTTGCAAACTTTCCGTGAGGCACCATGGCAGACAATCATGGACGATCAGGATGAATAAGGTTCTCTGAGCTGGATGAGCGTACTCCCTGCCCCTGTGCCATGTGCCACTGCTCTGCTGTGCCACCACTCTGATTGGCCGCTGCTGTCGCGTGTACAGGAGGCGTCGTTCGAGTACCTGCAGAACGAGGGGGAGCGGCTGCTGCTGGAGGCCATGGACGAGCTGGAGGTGGCCTTCAACAACACCACTGTGCGCACCGACTGCAACCACATCTTCCTCAACTTCGTCCCCACCGTCATCATGGACCCCTCCAAGGTCGGCGCCGGTGGCTGACAGAGCTCTCCCCGAGCCTCCTCTTGCGCGCGCGCCCCGCCAGCACCCCCAGGCTGATCGCATCCTCTCCCCCCCCTCCGCCCCTCTCTCCCGCTGGCAGATCGAGGAGTCCGTGCGCTCCATGGTGATGCGGTACGGCAGCCGGCTGTGGAAGCTGAGGGTCCTGCAGGCCGAGCTGAAGATCAACATCCGCCTGACGCCCACGGGCAAAGCCATCCCCATCCGGCTCTTCCTCACCAACGAGTCGGGCTACTACCTGGACATCAGCCTGTACAAGGAGGTCACCGACTCCCGCACGGGACAGGTGGGGCCCAAAGACCAAAAGGTGGGGCGCTCGCTCGTTTTTTACTGCCTCTTCCCACAGAGGATTCTGGGACAGACTCCCTCACAGCTACAAAACTGCATTTAGTGTTCACAGACGAGGCCCATCTCTGTCTTTCAGAGGGCACAGATGAAGCAGGAAAGGATGGTGTTATAATGGTGCTTTAACATTATTATAATAAGGTAATGATACTGAAATATCCAGCACCAGCACATGGTGAAGGCTTGTGTAAAAGCTTGACGTATGCACACTGTGAAATGAAATCTGCCTTGGTTTTGGAGTCTTATCATATGCCATCTTTTTTCATACAACTATACCATTATAATGTATTATACATATATTATACATATACATGCAAATACTATTGACATAGGTCTAGTAGGGTGCTGATTCAGCATGCGTCTGGCTGCAAAGAAACAGATGAAGGTTCATTTCTTGCTATGATATGTTCAGGTGTTTGTATCTCTTTTCCTTTCAGCTTGGAATAAACCTTTACCTGTTCCTTTACTAATGACATAGTCAAAATAAAACTGTGTGTACAGTTTATCCATGTTAAATACGAATCGATGTTTACAAGAGAATCGTTCACAAGAAAATCCTTCTGAAAGGATGATTTTTGTGAAGACCTGGAAGTCTCTCCTTCCAATCTCTGCTGTGACAGCTGCAGGAGTCCTAGCCTGAGCACGGTCTGTCCCATAATCTGGTCATTAAACACAGGACAGTCACACTACAGCGTAACTCTATGGTTTAATTTTCTGTTGATCTGTCTTAGGAAAGGGTAAGTGGATGCACATGGATGTTATTCCTATTTTGTTGCTTTCTTGGTACAACTTAGCACTTTGCAAGTAAAGTATATATTAAGTTCCAGAAAGAGCTATAAAGAAATGAAGCTGAGAGGTTAGTGGCTGAAATTGCCCTCTATAGGGTTGAGACAAGTGTTTGTACTGGGTTTATTGGTGACCCACCATTGTGTTAAACAGCCCAGCATTTGCAGTCTGTCTGCGCTCTGGGCTTGGCTCAATCACCATGGATTCAATACACATCCTTTTCTTACATGTGCCTGTCAGGCAACAGGTCCATTAGTCTGTTTACCTCACATCTGCATTCATTAAAGTCGAAAGTACTTTTTTGTCTTTCTCCCAGAATGAAACGAGAGGCAGAATGCCGTGCAACCTCTTCAAATCCGGATGGAAAAGTGTTTGATTTTCAGGTCAAACAAAAAAAAAAAAGTAGCTACAGTTAAATTGAAGCCACATAATGGTCCTGAAAATGTGTGTCATTTTTTAGGAGGCAAACAATGTGACCAGATCTTCACTCATTCTGAGCCATGACTCCCATTACAGTGGGAGGGATTAGCTATAGAAATGCGCAGCCCTGTTTCTCATTCTCTCTGAAAGAAGCAACGGGAGACAGCGTAAATAAATGAAATTAACGTAATCGCTACGGAATGGCAAATTAGCCATTGTTACTTTTTGTGCAATGATTTCAATAAAATATATAAATGTTTACATGCATGCAAACAGATTTCATATCCAAAAAGTACTTTTCTTTATAATAGGATTTTTGTTATGCAATGTTACATTATATATAGAAAAGGTGTCTGCGTTCATAAATTATGGATAGAGGGAGGATATTTAATTTTCTTTCTATTTAAAGTTCCCAGACAGTGTTAAATAAGGATTCAGTTGCAATGTATTGCACACAAGCTTCTTAATTAACACATGCCACTGTAGCTGCAAGGCAGGCTCATTCTTGCCTCTAAATAATGGAGCCATTTAAATTGCAGTATTTGTGACAATAACCCCTTTTTCATGTGAAAAAATTACCTTTTCTTTCTTTGTAGCTTGTACATGAGGCATGCAGCAGGGTTTTGAACAGGGGAGCTGGTACTTCTTTTAAAAAGACTCCTTTTTTGGGACATTCGGAGCATCCCTGTCCACTGTCCACGCCTCACGAATTCGTGACTGGAAACACTTTCCTGTGTTGCATATGACAGTACCAGCGGTTTTAATAAAATCATTCTGGATGACTAGGGGGCATGAAAAAGCCCTTTATCTCCCACTGAAAAGGGAGTAATAGGCCTGGGTCTGGTGTTTGTCCCTGGGTGCTTTCACTGGTGTGACTTAGTATTACCCGGGACCACAGAGCCACACAGTCATTAGCAAACTAAAGCCAGTCAGATGCTGCCACTTGCACCTACTTTAATAAGAAAACAAAGATCATGAGAATGTGCACAAATGAGCGCAGGCCATTCGGCCCATCTATCTTGGTTGTTTATCAGCAGCTGATTGATCCAAGGATCTCAGCCAACTGTTTCTTGAAGGAAGCCATGGCATTAGGTTCTGCTGGCTATCTTATTGCAGACCCAACAATCCTTTGAGTAAGGCACGGCCTCTGGTTCCCTGTTTTACATGTTCTGCCTCGGTGTTTCCCATCGTGTCCTCTGGTCCATATTTTCATTCTGATTCAGAAGAAGTGCACTGTGTTGGCATTGTCCTGATGAAATGTTTCTTCAGATATTCCAAAATTGTAACGTCAACTGGGCCATCCTGCTCACTGGTTCTGGAGAGGAAACACGTCACTAGTTGCTATTATGGTTGGAAGCCCATAAAGGATGCAGTACAATTGCAACGATGTACAGAACTTGTGTGTACAGAAATCTCAGAAAAGTGTGTAACAGCACCACCAGCTCGGCTGCAAACTGGATGCAAACGGAAGCACATTCCAAGGGATTTCCAGGATTCAGAGGAAGAGAGGAAGTAAAAAGGTCCTTGGCGAGACTGGTGCCCTGTTGACTCCTGTTCTTCCTGTTTCCAGATCATGTTCCAGGCGTATGGGGACAAGCAGGGGCCTCTGCACGGCATGCTCATCAACACCCCCTACGTCACCAAGGATCTTCTGCAGTCCAAGCGCTTCCAGGCCCAATCGCTGGGCACCACCTATGTGTATGACTTCCCCGAGATGTTCAGGCAGGTATGGACTCCCAGCCGAAGACTGTCCACTGTGTCCACACTCCAGATGTGGTTCTCTTCTCTGCTCACAGCGTCCCCATTACAGACGCAGAGGTTTTTCGCTGTTCACAAACCACTAAGGAGAGATCAGCAGGAAGGGGACCCACACACCCTTCTGCTCCGCTGTTCTCAGCTCCAGACGCACCTGAACGGGTCTGTGAGTGGGAGAGGTGGTGGGCCATGTTCATCTTTTCCTGTCTTACCACAATCCAGCTTAGCCCCGTTTCCTAGAGAGGGAAGTAAAATGTTGTCGTTTTCACTACCCCTTTTGAAGTGCTCTTCTTTCTCCTCCCAACCCCAACAGTCATTGCTGAAGCTCTGGGAGTCTACCGAGGCTTATGCCCACCTGCCCAAGTGCCCTCTGCCCTCTGAACTCCTGACCTACACTGAGCTGGTGCTGGATGCCCAGGGTCAGCTGGTACAGATGAACCGCCTTCCAGGGGGAAATGAGGTGAGGGGGCAGAGTCTAACCAAGAAAGGTGGGAAAGTGGGTGTCAGCTGTATCCCAGGGTGCCACATTGTGTTCATGTGACATGACTGGGACTGTGAAGAGGCAAACTGAGCATATGGATATGGATGGGCATACACAAATCTGTGGCTGAGGTACCAGCCATGCCCTGCCAGTACTGTTCCCTGTCTTTTTTTTCCAGGGGCTGAGTGCCCCTGCTAGGCTGATAATCCCTGCTTTGCTGGCTTGGTTCAAAGCAGGGAGTAAAGACAGCTTTCAGACAAAATTATATACAGGACAGAGTAGGGCTGGGATTTTTTTTCAGTAAGTAAATCATAAGGTACTTATGTATCCTTTTAACCTATGAGAGTCAGCTGCAGCAGGGAAGGGATAGGTGGAAAAACCATCATCACATCATTCAACTTAATTTTTTAAGATCTTCCAGACTTAGATTTGGCACAAGAGTGGGTCTCCTTGCAAAGGTTTACTGCAGTGTAACATGGCAGTTGTTGAGGAAGGCTTAGTAAAGGGCAGTAAGATTATAGTTTAGACAAGGTAAAGGATAGAGAGATATACAACATTGTGGTAAAACCTGGACAGCCACCCAAACGATACAAAATATTCTTCAGCGTCTTGCAGAAGGGTATACTGATGAAAGGGAATCTTGATGACCGTGAGCTCCTTCCAGATAGTATAGAGTTGATGTGAACAATCTGTTTGAGACCAGCAGTATAGGTGCTGTTCTGCTGGTTCAGGTTTTACTGGCTCTAAGGAAGTGCTATTGCCTGACCAAGTCTTCCTCCCACAGCCTCTCGGCATGTAGACATGGGGCTGGGAGAATAATATTACCCTGCAGTACCCCTTTGACTCCTATAGGTGTCTCTCTTTTTCTTCTGAAGTGGCTCAGCGCAGAACTGTGCCTGCATTCCGGATTTAGAAATTGTAATATTTTGCTGGAGGGAACATGTAACAGTACCTAGAAAACAAAGCGCTGAGTCCTTACAGTCATTCAATGTGCAGGTCTCTCACACAAGTGTGTTTTGATCTTTGATCTATGTATTAATGAATGAAAACCCATTCCTTGCGTGCAAGTTCTTATGAGCTATTGTTTTAATCTGTGTGTTAATTTATACAATCTTTCGGCAGCTGAAAATCATTCTAATTGGTTCCACTCTTAACGTTTTACGGGTTGCGATGAAAATGTTGAAGGAGCTCCAGTTGTGGCTTTTCTGTATCCCACGGTCGGCCAGCTTGTCGTGCCTCTCAGTGGGCGATGCCAGTTCAGCTGGTAAGCAGCGCTGCCTGGAGGGTCAACTAGCCCAGTTACCCTGTCTGATTATTTATTGTAATGTATTCAGGACCGAGGGGGCTGACCCAGAGTGAAGTAATGCAAAATTGAGCATGGACATTTTTAATGGCCATCGTTAACATTAGCCCCAGACCTCAGGGTGAAGAGCTGGGGGTTAATCCATGCAGTTTAATGGCTAAAATATTTGGAGTAAATTATTTAAACACAGGCTGATGTGCGCTACTGCAGCACGAGAGAGGGTATTTGCCGCCACTCACTGTGGAACCAGCCTGGCGGTCCTCTGAAGTCTGGGGTGTGAGACTGAAATCTAGATTTGGAATATTCTTCTTGTTCCTCTCTTGTTTGCATTCTAAGTTGTCTTGATGTCTTTGCACAAACAAAGGGCCTGAAATTGCCTGTGGGTTTGGGAAGGATGACACAGACACTCTGGCTGCACTTAAATGTCTGCCATTAATTTTGAATGCATTTAGAATGGGAATGCTATGGAAATCCCAACTGGAATGAAATCAGAATGCAATCCTGTCGGAATATGACAGGAGTTTATCTAGTACTTAGGTGCTCCCGCTTAGGCACTGTGCTTCTGTTGTAGCATGACATTGAAACACGCTCAGATACAAGAAACCGAAAAATACCTGACTGTCTCTCAGTCTGTGGACACACTAGACTCTTAGAGGGGACAGTACTCTGTAAGCACCTCTGCTCCTCTGTTCAGTGCATTTCAATGCTCTTGTAGGGATAGACACAGCCGAATTGCACTGGATGGAGTCTTGTCTGTGGATTCCCTGCATGTGGTTTGGGTTTGTAGATAATCTGCATCATGAACAAGCTTCACATGTGGTTCGGCAAAAGTTTTCTGAGCCCCAGGAAGGGCAGAATCCCAGAGGATTTTCAATGTCATTGCTGCAGAAACTCTAAACGGCAGTGTAGGAGAGTATTACTGAGAGCGCTGTTCTGTGCTGGAGCTCACCCAGTGTCTGTGTCTTTCCGTGTCCGTCCACCCCAGATCGGCATGGTCGCCTGGAGGATGACCCTCAGGACCCCGGAGTACCCCACGGGGCGGGACATCATCGTGATCAGCAACGACATCACCCACAAGATCGGGTCGTTCGGGCCGCAGGAAGACGTGCTGTTCCAGCAGGCCTCGGAGCTGTCCCGGGCCGAGGGCATCCCACGCATCTACATCGCCGCCAACAGCGGGGCCCGCATCGGGCTGGCCGAGGAGATCCGCCACATGTTCCACGTGGCATGGCAGGACCTCAGCGACCCCTACAAGGTGAGAGACAAATGAGTGATCACAGGACAGCTCGGCAGGAGAGTTTTCTCTGTCATCCCGCCTTCTACTTTTTCCCTGCTTTTTCCCTCGGCTGAGAAAGAACTTGAGATGCAGATCCTGAGCATGAGCAGCTCTGCTTCTCGTGGACAAGCTGACCATGAAATGAAGGTGAATTACCGACAGAAGGCTAAGATCAGCAGTCTGACTCTCAGGCCCTGAAGTTTTTGCGGCTTTCTGCACTTTACACAGACGGGGCTGCAGATTAGCTCGCCAGCCGTTCAAGCAAACACCCTCTGGTACGCCCCCAGACGACTCGTTCGGCTGATCACATCCTGGTGCAGAAAGCATTGAGTCAAATGTGAAACAGGTCATATATGTTTGAGAGTACCCAAGCATGGTATAGTTGAGCTGTGGCTCTGGCAGCCTGCTGACGTGACGGTGTTGTCTGTGTTTTCTCTGTGCCTCCAGGGGTTCAAGTACCTGTACCTCACCCCGCAGGACTATAAGAAGGTGTCAGCGCTGAACTCTGTGCACTGTGAGCATGTGGAAGACGAGGGGGAGTCCAGGTGAGATGCGCTGGGTCACTGAGTAATTCGGGACCAACATTGGCTGGCGGGATCATGGTCTTTGTTCTTATTTCTAGTCATTTATCGCTTTTCTTTGCATTTTGCGACATCATCCTTGCAGCTTTTATGTTGTGACATTTTGCCAGGTTAAAATTCCACATACTTTTATAGCATTTCTGACAATGAACTCCACCTCTTTAATGCATTTACTTACTTTAATGCACTATATTGCATACATTCTTAAATACAGTATATATGTCGTCAAAGAGAATTACATCCATGGAAGGTGTTACTAAATGTTTCCAGTCCATCCCATTGGTTTTAGTTCTGCATCAAAGATCTCACACAGCCGTAGCTGGCTCTACGCTTTTGTGCCTTGCGTCCTGTTGACCTCTGTTTGACCTGACGACCTCGGCAGACTGCTGTGTCCCAATCCCTACAGGTACAAGATCACAGACATCATTGGGAAGGAGGAGGGCTTGGGCGTGGAGAACCTGCGTGGCTCGGGCATGATCGCAGGAGAGTCCTCGCTGGCATACGAGGAGGTCATCACCATGAATCTGGTGAGAAACGCAGGCTGGCTGGGGCCTACAGCTGCTCTTGCCCACATTCACACCCTCACACTCGGCACACAGCACTGCAGATACCCCTGCACCCCACTCTTGCTCAGTCTCCCTTTATGCAGCATCACCTTCCTGCATTCAGACAGAGGGGACACAGACACAGTGTACTGGCTGATGTGCTTCAGGAGAGCAGAAGCTGGAGAGCTTGTTGCTTTCCAGATCTCAGCTCTGCCAGACCACTGCCAGCTGGGTCCTGATGGCCTGTGGATTTACATGTGCTTGCAGGTGACGTGCCGCGCGATTGGGATTGGAGCATACCTGGTGAGGCTGGGCCAGAGGACCATCCAGGTTGAAAACTCCCACATCATCCTAACTGGAGCTGGGGCTCTCAACAAGGTCAGTGGGCAGTAGGGGGGAGGTGGGGTTGGGAGTGACATGGATGGGCAGAACTGCACAGGGAATGAGATTCTACTTTCCTAGCCAATGACTTTCCTAGCCAGTGAAGGATTTCCCTACCAGCATCTCCACCACTGCCTCTTCTTACAAAACCCTCTGCCAAGTTCCGCTTTGACTTGGAGGCAATATAGAAGGGATGGAACACAAAAAACAAAGCAGGAGCCTACAAAACAGGGGCTGTAGGATTGGAGCGTACCAGTTTTAAAATGACAGAGCTCTGCATTTTGTCTCGAGCAAATGCACCCTTGTGCAGGGGGCTGGCTTGTTATGACAGCAGCAGCGTCATAGTCTCGTTGTGTGGTGTCTCTTTGGGCGTTCCTTCGCCATTACTTGTCTTATCTGCTGTATCAGGAGACACAATAAATCGCTGCTCAGATTAGAAGAGTGAATCTCATGGTCCCCCTTCAAGAACCTGCAGCTTCTTCCTTCCTCTTTTTTTGCCCCACGCACACAGTACAAAATTCTACTTCCATGCAACCATAAACACACACACACACACACACACACACACACACACACACACACACAGGCTCTCTCCCTCTCTCTGTCTCTCTCCAAAACGGCTTGCCATGGAAATTGAAATAATGATAATGTGTCCCTCTGACTGCATCAAAGTATTGCCACTTCAAAAAAAAGCCGGGAGGCATGAAATGCAAATGACAATGTTGGAGCAGATGGATTGAGTGCCTTGCCTTACACCCGATGAATCTTAAAAGAGATGGGGGGGGGTGTGGGGGGGGGCGAGAATGGGTAAAGGAAGATATTTGTGGGTTGTTCTGCTGTTGGAGCTCACAAGTAATAATGGACAGATTTGTCATTACTGATGTCTGGCAATAAATTGTTTTCTATTGTCAGGCCCCGGCAGGGTATTTCGCTTGCTCACTTTTTAGGCATATAAGGGTCAGCTGTTGCCATATGGAGGGAACTGCAATTAGTCTTTAATCATGCTTTATTTTGACTGCAGTTGTTTTACAGTTGATTTACAGTACAGTTAATCCTGTCACACGTACCGACCAGCAGGTTAACTGTCTGCACAGGTGGCAATGCCACTGAGTTCGCTGCTACTCCTCCGACACACACTGGGGAATGAAGAGAAGAGAAGGAATTATCTGCAGAGCTTTACGCACGAATAAGCATCCTGTATACAGATATAGCATGGTCGTGTGTAGGACTGGTTAGATGTGTATATTGGGTTCTGCAGATATTTTAATGTGTGTGACATTTATTTGATCGTGATAGCCAGCTTTGCACATCTGGAGGAAGAATGAGACAGTGTTTTGGAAACTAACAGGGGGTCAGGTGCATTTAATTAATAGTCTTTCATATAAAAATGTCCTTCCATGATGCGTCATCTCAAGGAGCTTTACAAAAGACCCAGGCTTATGCAACATTGGCAAATGACAAATAATTCAAAGTTAGACTGTAAGAAAAAGAGCTAAGATGGGATTTAAAGGTGCTGTTGAACCTGAATGATGTGATATGGGCTGGGAGATCTTTCCAGCATTTGAGCAACAGAATCCTGGTATCCCAGAAACTCCCAGGGTTAGTAACCTAGTTTTTTAAACTGATAGAAGGCCACAGTCTGAAAACCACAAAAGTTGTGTATGTGTATAGATAGCTAACAGACCACTGTTGTAGTCAGTAGCCAAACCATTCAAGCCCTTAAAGAAGAGCAGCTGCATGTTGTATTTTACTCTGAAAATCACAGAGAACCGGGTCAAATCCAAATGAATGGCTGTTGATGGCTTGACAGGTATTATTTATTTAATTCATATGTGTTATGGTTTGTTGCTTCTGTAATTGTTGAAGCAAGAGGGCTTTCTCCTGATGAGGGTCAGTAATGCAGTCTCAGTTTAAGAAGGATTAATAAAACAAATATAGATTGCTATTGTAGAAAGGTGTTTATACTTGTTACTGATATGCACAGAGATTAGACCATTAACAGTCTTATATAGATATACAGTGTGTTTATTTGCATGTATTACTTAGGTATGTCTCTAAAACTATATAATTTCACAATTTATAATGGCCGCAAACCATATTTTTATACCCGGAAGACGTCAGCGCTACAGAAGACGTCAAGAATAAAATTAAATAAGCCTGAAAATTGCTCCTAATGTACAACAAATGCAGTGGACAAAAGAAAATCTGTATTTGCATTTCTGCCCTCTGAGACCACTGCGGCTGAAAGTTGTGTATCCCAGGTGCTTAGCGGCATCAATCAGTATTTTGTACACTTGCCATACGAATCCTGCTTAGAGAACTCCCCCCCCCACGATTCCAGCATAAAGGCAAGTAGCCAGAGGGAGCTAGTGCAGAGGCCTGATGTCATGAGTTTTCTTCCTCCGGATGTCTGAGGGATGCACCAGAATCCGCCTGCCCCCTGCTTTGGGGACCTGACAAACTTGCATGTGAGATTCTTACCGGTGCAGTAGGATGGGTTTGGTGGGTGTGTGTGAAAGGTGGATGAAGATGAAAAGATCGTGGAATTACGGCTGTGTGAGCTCTTGTGGTGTGTGTGCGTGCGTGGATGTCTGTCTAAGCCAAACCATTTTATTAGCGGGTAGAAGTTAAACAGCAGTCTTCCCTGAACCTGGGTGCCTGTAGGAGGGTATAATATATTAAACGGGAGGCAGAAAGAAACAAATTATACCAGTGTCTTTGTGTTGTTCTTGTCTCTCTCTCTCACACTCCTGGTGTTATATATTTTCACACTTCAGCGATCGCCCCCCACACACTCTCCCTCCCTCTCTCATTGACTGGTACACATGCTCTCTCTCTCTCTCACTCTCGCTCTCTCTCCCCATCTCAGGTCATGTTGCAGCAGCTCCAGTAGAAATAATAGGATGGAAAGCGTGAGGTTGTTATTTGCATAGAAATAGCATGACGCCCCAGGCAGCTTGGGAGAAGGACACAGAGATCATTTGTCTAAAATTTTAATGAAAAGTTTTGCTGAGACAGAGATTTTTTTTTTCTTGAAGCCCCCACCATGCCCAACCCCCCCCCCTCCAACAACCCCCTCCCTTCCTCTTTCTTTCCCCGTCAGTGAATTAACGTGGTTCGATTTAAAATTAGATGACACATCGCAAATCGCTGCATGCCAGATCGCAATAACATGTAAATTTCAATTTGCTGGCTTTAATAGAAGCCGGTATGGTGGTGCTGCTGAATTGCAAGGTAGCAGCAGCACTGACAGGGGTAACTTGGTAGTCTTCTCCCTTGTGTTGGTGGTATATTAAATGCAAACCTGTGACTTTGATCCCCAGATGGGTTTTTACTCCTTAGTGAACCACTGTGCCTTAAAGAGAGAGGCTATGTACCACACCTTTGGTGTGTCTGCGGGTGTCCCCTCTGTCACGAGAAACATGGGTCACTGGTGATGCGATTGCACAGGCAAAAAAGAAAGCATGCTTAAGACTGTCTCCAAACTTTTCCTGCATTTGAAGCAGGAGGATTATGGGATAGGGCAGGCCCATGCAGGTAGACGTGAGTGGGGGCAGACAGTGCTCAGGCTTCCTTGTAGCGTGGTCTTCTCACAGGCAAGGAACAAAATCGACAAAGCTGGTTAAGTTAGTCACAATCCCCTCCTAGTCCCAGAGACCCCAAGGGGTTTCTGCTTATTGTTTGCCCTGAGCTCTTAATGAATTAATTAATTATGTACTCAGTTAGTCTAAATGACCACTGATTCCAGGTCTTTAGCCTTCGAGAAGTTTGTAACTGCCTTTGTAAAATGTGCTGCACTGAGGCCCAGCAGGTCATGGAGGGGAGTGTCGGTGCATAAAAGAATTGCCTTCTTCTATGAGTATAAAGTCTTGGACAGCTGGGGATAGAGGTGGCATGTCTGTGCATAGAAACTCACACTGCCACTTTAAAACTCTAGTCATGCCCCTCCCACCTCCCGACTCTCCTGCCCTTGGGTTAGTGTGACTTTCCGTGGAGTGTGAGTGCTGGCACCATGGGTGTGTGCAGTGCCACTCTGCTGATGCGGTTGGACAGTGTCTGCGGCGCACTGCCAGGCGTGTGCCAGCTATGCCCCTGACCAGCTGGCATCAGCAATGAGAGCTGATGCCAGGCAACGCTTGCCTGCTCAGGATGCTCGGGGAGCTAGGCCTTGTACCGATAAATAATACAGAGAGAGAAGAAGCGCGAGGACTCACCATCAGATCCTGCCAATAGCCCCCTTCTTTCTGTTTCACACGGAAAAGTACTGGCGAGGTGTGTGTGTGTGTGTTTGCTACTCCCATTGCTGGGCTGGGATGTTGGGAAAACAATTAAGTCACTGCTTAGCGATTACATCCATTTCAGTTTTTAGAAATCAGTCTTGTACAAGTTGACCTGATGAACCCGCCACCTTCCAAAAATAAAAGCCATGTGCTTGATTTCATTGTCACTCATCTACCCTTGCACATTAGCTCATAATCAGGCAGCAGATATGAAATGGGTCAGACAACCACGGAGCAAGAGTCCGACTGGATTCGTAATTCCAGTTGTGTTTGGGGTTTTGGCCACCGTGTTGCTAACGTGCATTGTCCCACACTGCAGCTGGGCTGTCGTAGGCTTGGCAGTGCCCATACTTCAGTGATGTGAAAAAGAGCCTCGCCCTCCTTATCTCTCTCTCATCTGTACCGCGAACCGGAGACGCAGCTGTGGTTTCTTGCTGCTTTTTGAGGAGGAACCGGGAGACCGGGACACCCTCTCATCTTAGGAGTCGCCGCGGAACAAGAGAGGGCAGCTCTGTCGCTCCGAGCTGCATTAAATTAATTAACAGCAGAGAATTTATCTTGAAATAGTGACTGGAGAGTGATTACAATAGCAAATATTGCAAACGGGGAGCCAGAGAGAGAATCCCCCCCCCCCCCAAACTCGTTTGGAATATTAATGAAATTCCAGTAGGGTGGCTCTGAGTAAGAAGCTCCCAGTCCCAGCTGCCCCTGCTCTGAGAGTCAAGGTGACCGCGCAGTCTGCCTGCAGACCCAGGTTGGCCTGACAGCTTTAGGAGTGCGCCCGAGATTTGTAGCCTGGGAGAAAATCAATAAAGGTAATAAAAAAGTACACGGTGGCTAAAGAGGTTAAAATGAAGGGTGAAGCCGCAGCCTTGCCCTGCTTTTACAGAGGTGTGTCACCCCGTCCGCGGGCTGCGCTCCTCTCTCCAGCGCGCCGAGCGGTACGGCATGCTGGGAAGTGCTTGTGGAGGGGGGGGGGTTATCAAGCCCCGGGGGTCAGAGGAGCGGCGGAGAAGCGAAAATGAGTTCAGCGGCCTCGGCGCCATCCTTCATGGAGCTGCGCGTGGGCTGAGGCCTCGCTGTACCTTTGTCTTAGCGGAGCGGCTTTAGAACGGGCTCTTCAAACCCTGTGCGTGTGTGCGTTACCAGAGCGCAGTCTGAGCGCTAGGCGGGCGCGCGGCGCTCCCCGTTCTGCTGCGAAAACTCGTCACGGCCCTTGTTGTGTTGCAGTGTGCTGGCGGGGGTGGCAGTGCCAGCAAGCAGATGGCCGTGACTGTGGCAGCAGGGGCTTGGGCAGCCTGTGCCCCTGGCATAGGGTGAGAGTGGGCTTCTGCTTTGTGCCAGGCACTGTGCCATGTGCTTGCCCTGCCAGTGGGGGGCGCTGGGTTGCATATAATGCAGAGAGGCACTGAGGCTAGGGCTGCATGCCAACTGCAAAGAGACCTGTGTGTGTGTTTTTGGATCACTTTTGAAAGGCATAATGAAAGCAAGTTATAGTGAGGAATTATCCACACAACCTATTATCAAGGGAAGTGGGTCCTGGGCTGTCTTTTGAGCAGCTGTACTCTCTGTACAGATCCTGCATCTGTCGCCCACTTATTCCTCTTTAAGGAATACGTTGGCATTAAAACATCTGGGTTTATAAACAAGAGAAATTAACCTTACCTTTGCTGACCCCTGTGGCAGTAATGCTTTATCTTTAAGTTGGGGAATGTATTTTTTTTTCCATATTCTGGATAAAAAAAATCTCTTTTATTTATTTATTTTTTAAAACGACATGGGCACGGTACATGCAAGTGTCCTTATAGAAAAAGGGATATAGCTACAAGGGGTGTATGCTGTGTGAAAGTGAAAGCCATTTTAATATGAATGAAAATCCCAGGGAATCGCAACCATGAAAGGTGAATGTGTTTTATAGACTCGCCTCTCCATGCTTGCCCTCAATGCATTGCTACAGGAGAGTGATGGCTCTCTGTCACTGGGCCTGTCGATAGCTGGCAGAACACCATGTCAAAGAGCAGAGGCCCAGGGTATTAATACACACTGGAGGTTACAAAACACCCTCCTGGGGCAGTTGTCCCCCCCACCCCCACCCTGCTGGGTGACAGAGTGCTCTTTAATACCCAATCGACACTATTGATGTTTCGCAGCCTGGTCACTCATGGACAAACTGCCACGGGAGTTTTCTCATGATTTTATTGAGCTGGAAGGAGATAGCCCCGAGAGACAGAGACGAAATGGGAATTTTCTGCACAGAGACTCAGAGGGACTGACCCTTGGATTAGTTTATAGAGGTAGAAAGCAGTGTCCAGGGTCAGGCAGTGCACCATGAAAGCCCCAGTGGTGTGAAGATTATGGCTTCGTATTAACCAGGAAACTGAAAGGCATAACGGGGAAAAAAATATTTCGTGGTGTTTTCTTTCAGAGTTTATGAACCCACAGCTGTGAATACCCATTCCCCATGGGAGCTTAATGTTTTCTAGTAGGGATGATTAATTCACCTAGGAAAAAACACAAGAACGAACACTTAGTCCATGCTTATTTCAAATTCATTGGTCAAGTGATAATTAATAGTGTCTTCTGCACTGTATTTCAAATGAAACGCACCTGTTGTACAGTGTATGGGATGTCAGTGAATAAACCAAGAGTCTGAGATTCCAAGTGTTCTCTTAGAGTTGTTGGCAGAGGGGGGTACAGGGAGGGATTAATGAATTTCTGGGTCAAGATGTGGAAATGGGACATTTACAGTAGGAAGTAAGAGGTGGACCTGGAAGTCACTAAGTCGTGTCTGCTTCTGGTGCTGTTCTGGTTCCTCAGGTCCTGGGCCGGGAGGTGTACACCTCCAACAACCAGCTGGGCGGAGTGCAGATCATGCACAACAACGGAGTGACGCACTGTACCGTCTGCGACGACTTTGAGGGCGTCTACACCTTGCTGCAGTGGCTGTCCTACATGCCCAAGGTAACTGGGCGGCCAAGAGTGGCTCAGTGAGAGAGCACAGGGAAATCACATGGGGGAAAAAAAAACATCAGTCAAGTATGGTAAATTTCATGCTTTGTTGCAAATCAGCCCGGTGAAATCCGGCATACTGAATAACAAGGTAAGTGGAAGCATGGCACAGTAAATTTTATAAAATAAGCATGCTAGCCTGACAAATTGCTGTGCAAGTTAACTCATCTTATTACAATTTGCTTTGATCATCCCACTGCATGGGCTCAGGTCTGATACAAGCACCTGGCCCGGCTTCCTCTCTCTAACAGCGTGATGGAAAACGCTCAGCACAGAACACAACTTTTGATTTATTAGCAGCGGTGTGACAGTATTACTCCCTGCTGCCAGCAACATATGGAGGCTGTGTGTTCAGACAGATGTAGAGGCAGACGGGCCTCTGAAAGGCACAGAAGTTGAGCATGGCGTGCTGGCGCCGCAGCACGAGCTGTGACATAGCGAGTGAGTGTTGCTCCTCTGTTCTGTTTCCTCGTCCGGAGCTGTGTTCCCAGCAAGCCTCTCCCACCAGGCCAGCTGCATTATGAAAGGCACAGCCAATGTCGAGGACGATAAAGATTGATATGGAAGCTTAACATTGCACTTATGTCTTTATTAACGTACACAAGCAGAGCCCAAATCAGTCAAATTGTGGTAGAAGTCAGGTAAAAGCACAAAATAATATTGTGAGGTGTACAGGGCAAAGCAGATGTGCATTGTACTGTATGTTTGGTAAAAACATACTGTATAGATTTGCAATGGTGAGCTTCCACTGGGGCGAAATGCCTGAACAAACGAGGGTGTCCTGTGCATCTTTGTGTCATTTCCTTTCATTCTCGGGAAAAGGTGAACTTAGTGCTTCTTTTCTGAATATATTCCCGGTGTCTCCCTCTATCCCAGTGCAACTCCAGCCCCGTACCCATTCTGGATGCCAAGGATCCCATTGACCGGCCCGTGGAGTTTGTGCCCACCAAAGCCCCCTACGACCCTCGATGGATGTTGGCTGGCCGCCCTAGCCAGAGTAAGGCAACAGCCTGGACATTTCCGCACTCCGCACGAATGAGCCTGATGATCCCGCTCAAAATATCGAATTGAAGATCTGCGGCTTTATTTTAATAAGGAGCACCAATATAACTTTAATGGGGGGGGGAGGAGCTCGTTTTCCAACATGTCCCTTATCTTCTTCCTTCTGCTTTAAATTCCACGATTCACTCTAATAACCTTAGAGTTTGCAATTTTAAAAAAAAATTCGGACTTTCCAGGTTCCCGTTCCATGCGAATGACAAAAAAAGATTCCTCTGGCTCGGCTCTCAGTTGCCCAACAAGAAAACACACAGACACGTACTCTCTCCGTCCATGATTTATACTGTTTCTTCTGGCTCAGGGGTACCTGGCTGCATTAACGCCTCGCTACTCTCTCCTGGCTGAAATTAAAGAGAAGTTTTTCGTATTTTAAGGATAATTTTTATCACCATTTTTTTTCCCCCGGTCATTTTTATCCTTCCTCCCGTCACACAATTGCTGCAACAGCAACTTCTAAATGGAGTGACTTCATATTTTAATTTAGTGTATGCAGTTAAAAGGGGGAAAAATACTGATGATTTGCGGCGATAAGTTCAAGCGGATATCGAAGAGGTTAAAAGTTAAAGTAATTCATTACGGGAGATAGTACTGTGATATTCTTCATTCTGACGCCCAGCACGGGCCTGGAATCTAAACGATCAGCCAAGATGCCTGATTAAGAGATAATACTGGAATTGATGGTCATATTTTACTGTGGGTCATGCCAGTGCAGATTGTAGAACGCAGTAATTACAAGTTTGGTCTAGAGAGAGAGAGAAAAAAATCTTTGTCTTCCTTGAGACAACCAGGCTAGTTTAATTGAATCCTAACCCCTGAAACTGTTCTTGCTCTGTTCACACTTTTAAGAGTTGAAATGCTGAGCTGGGCTATTGTGTCTTCATTCTCAGGGTATTCTTTTAAAAACAGAGTAGCCAAAACTTTTTTTTTTCCCCCCAAACACAAGACAAAAAGCTTTAAAATGATAGAAAATAGGTTTCTGTTTTCAAATTTGGAAAACTGAGGTAGATGTGTGTATCTGTGCTTGTATTGAGGTTTAACAGGCAGCTGTAACAGTTATGCAAGCATCTAAATGAATGGAAGTGATTAACTGAAGTTCGAGAGGGATAGCAACGACAAGTCAATCTCACACAATTGTACATAATTGCCTATATACCTAATTGTTACAAGCTCTATACTGTATATGGAACACATATACCTCCCTTCGCATTCGTCTCCAGCATCCTATCTCCACCTAGCAGCTGCCCTTAGGTCACTCTGTCTGTGGCCAGGAGACTGCCCATTAACCAAGCTGGTTAAGCCAAACTTACATCCACAAAGCATTCAGGTCTTAGATGTTGGTGTCCATCGTGAAATGATATTAAAAATACAAGGACACAGTTTTAGCTTCATGCAGAACTCCTCTGAGGCAGTGTTCCGTGAATCTGAACTTGTGTGAGAGTGTTACCCAGCTTATGTGAAGCTCTGGAGGTTCAGATGCTCTAAAACGTTCATTGTGGACTGTTCAGGTGACTGTGAGAGCTCCGTGCTCAACAGACCTTTCTCTCTCCAGGTCCCAAAGGCCAGTGGCTCAGCGGCTTCTTTGACCACGGTTCGTTCCTAGAGATCATGCAGCCCTGGGCACAGAGTGTGGTGGTGGGCAGAGCCAGGTAGGGAACAGTGGGATCACCCTCCTGTCTGAGAGCTTTGACCGTCTGTATCTTACAGGGCTGGGGATGTAATGAGTAATGCAGTCCATCCATCCCTTTTCTAACCACTTTATCCAATACAGGGTTGGGGGTCGCTGGACCCTATCCTGGCAAGCAGTGGGCGCAAGGCAGGGTCCACTCTGGATGGGACACCAGTCCATCGCAGGGCACACACACGCAGACACAGTCACACTCACAGGGGCCAGTTTTCCCAGAAGAAAATTAAAGGGGAACTACATTGCTATTTGTATATATATTGGGGTTAGAAAGAATTGGCATTAATGAGTAGTTTTCAAAACCACAATGAATGTAAAATGTACACAGTAAAGTGTAAAACCTCTAGTTCACATAACAAAACTGACTAAATTTCCAGGTATGCGTTGCACCATATTCTTCCATGCAGAATGAGGGAATAAAACTCATTTTACATTGTAAACAAGCAGATGAATACATCTCTTATATTCCAATAGAAATATTGCTCTCAAATTCGCAACGGTTTTGCCAACAAATGCTACTTACTTGTGAACTCTGCATACAGATCACTTTGGAACATTTCTGTGGTGAAATATCTGCTGCACTACCTCTATTTATTCACTCGTACATCACAGTCCACTAGTCATTACGGTGACTGGTGAGCACGAAGGGCCGCTTCATGGCGCAGTTCGCGCAGACTCTAGCCCATGGCGAGTCCAGGGGTTTCCAACAACATGGCGACTATACAGTATTTTCACAAAGCTCAGGATTTTTTTTGATTACCATGATTACCTGAGAAATTGGGACTGCAGTTCCCCAGTATGTTTTTGGACTGTGGGAGAAAAACGGTGCACCTGGAGGGAACCCACACAGGCATTGGGAGAACATAAAAACTCCATGCAGAAGGCACCCCAGGGCCCCAGCGCTGCGAGGCAGCAAGGCTAGCCACCTGTTGCTGTGCACGTGCAAGCCAATCTGATTTTCAGACTCTCCTTGTGAGTGCAGTTTTCCTCCACCAGGTGGCACTGTTTCCTTTGCAAATCTTTGCACGTTAATGGTCACCATTTATTAACCCCTGTGTGCCTTCCACTTTCCCCTTGCTTGGAGCAACACACCAGTTACAACAGACTCCTGCGGTGGATTATTTCTTTTTTTCTGTCCTCTTTTGCCCGACTCAGGATGTTCTTTAGTAATTGCGAGATAAGGAGTGCACTCTTATAAAAAAAAAAGTCAGGACAATTTGTTCCTGCACCTTGTCCTCTGTGCTCTGCCATTCTATAGAGGGCTGCAGATGAACCTATTTTATTTCATCTCCAGATGCTCATTATCTTTTATGAAAAACACAACAATTACCCTGCTACTTTGAATAGTCACAGGCTGACAGAGGTAATGAAAAGGTGTCAGCAAGATAAAGATGCAGGGAGTGAATGGGGCTCAATTGGCTGGGCACAGAGAGGCCAGTGTATGTCTTTGTATCTGTCTGACTGTGTGTCCTTCTGTCTGTCAGTGTCAGCATGCCTCCTTTGCTATTGTCCACTTGTATGAAGACATGCAGAGTGGGAGGAGAGAGAAGATAAATGGAAATGCAAGCATTTGCAATGGCTGATCAGAATTAAATTGCTACTCTACATTATACATACATTATCTAATAATATCTTCACGCCTGAAGACAGCTACACAGCCAAAACATTGTTTTTCTGTGTGGAATTAACCTCTGCCTGTTAGATTACGTAATGTTGATACAATGCATGCACATCATACTATTGATTTATTTTGTTAAGCGTATTGAGTTCAATATGTACAGGTAGACGTGTGTGTGTTCAGTGGACATGTGTGTGCCTGTGTGTTCAGGACGTGGGTGTATTTGTGTGTACAGATAGACAGTGATGGTGTGTGTCTGTGTGTACAGGTGTTAGTGATGGTGTGTGTCCTAATTGCAGGCTGGGTGGAATACCTACTGGAGTGGTTGCTGTGGAAACCAGGTCCGTCGAGCTGTCAGTGCCAGCAGACCCTGCCAACCTGGACTCAGAGGCCAAGGTAGCTTTGCTGTGCAAACCTGAACCTACATACACAATCTACCATACCTGGACTAGAGAGTGCATGCTCCTCCCTTGCATGGCATTGCACATCTCTCGTTCATCCCGTTTCTTCATTGTCCAATTGACCTTTAAGTTGTGAATGGACCCTGCTGCTGAAGACCATTTTACCGGTTAATGAGTGTCCACAGTTGGCGAGGCCAGGCTGCCTGGTCCCTGTCCTCTACACGCATACAAAACAGTGCTGAGGTGCAAAAGAGTGAACCTGCCACTGATGCCGTCTTTCTGGCCCTCAGATCATCCAGCAGGCTGGCCAGGTCTGGTTCCCCGACTCGGCCTTCAAGACAGCCCAGGCCATCAAGGACCTGAACCGTGAAGGGCTGCCCCTCATGGTGTTCGCCAACTGGAGGGGCTTCTCCGGAGGCATGAAAGGTCAGTGCCCCCCAACCCCCTCCCTCTCCTGCAGCATTGAACAGCCTGCATTGTCAGTGATCAATAGGGGTTTCTTCTTACTAGTATAGGCAATGTGCAGACATAACAGTCTAATCTAAAATTGGCTTCCGACACTGTGCTTAAAGTGTAGACTATATGTCACCTTGCCGTTTCATTAAAAAAAACAGCTGAGGGAAGGATATGAATAAATTAAAGTTGGCCAGAAACCCTTGCAACAGTCCAATCGAGCTGAAACGCCGTTACAGGGGTTTACTGTAACTGAACTATGCATTTTAATAGTGAGCACATTAAACCTGGCATGCTGGTAGTTAAAAACAAACTTTTGGTCAACTTTCTTTAAGATAAAGGGGCTTACAGCAAAAACTAAACCAACATTTTCTAAAAATATCTTAAAAATCTTAAAACAAACTTAAAACATTTTTTAATACATATCTGAAGACAGGTGAAGTTTTTGGTCTGTGGGTTTTAAATAAGGCTTTTGTTGTTCAGGGACAGGTTGCTGTTTATGACCTTCTTTACACAGCTAAAAAAAAATCCCAGGTTTCATCCTGGCTGAGAAGGAGACTCAATTCTGACACATTACTGGCATGTCGTATTTCAAAATATTCCAGCGTTAGCGTATTTCCATTTTTTTCTAGATGCTCACGTGACAGAGAGAGTTTGAAGTGTGCGTCTGTTTGGAGACAGCGTGTCAGCTCGTAGTTTAATAGCTTTTTAAACGGAGACAGCTAGGTGTCAAACACACTGCTGTTTAATTAATTTTGTTTGTCCTGCTCTGCTTTTGATAGTCATGGGCGGCTGGGTATTCCTGTTGCCAGGAAAGAAACAAAAGAGAAGTTTGCACTACAAAACCAGCACTCCAGCATATCTTTGAAAAAGGAAGGTCTTGAGCCATCAAGTAAAATTATGCTTTAGTTTTAGGATGTACTAATAAGACCATATTTACCATATTGTATTTTGTTGTCTCCATATTATACCCTTAGAAAGAGTTCAAAGAATGACTACAAGACAGGTTAAAGGAGCTAAAGCTCTTCAGCCTGGAACAGAGAAAAGAGGAGATTTGATTTAAACATGTATACAGTGTGTATACGTAAAGCCTATCCAGGGGTCTACTTCTCACTCAGTAGTGAAATTGGAACAGGGAGTCATTTTGGAAAACAGAAAGGGAATTCCTTTAAGACACAGAATATAATATATAACATAATATAACATTACTTTATTAACCCTTTACATTTTCTTGCATTAGGAATTAACTTTTTGCAGACCCCAGCTTGCTCTCCATGAGACACACAGATAGGGAGAGAGACTGGGGTCAGAGCGCCTGGAGCAGTTGGGGTTAAGGGCCTTGCTCAGGAGCCCAATGGAGCAGGATTCCTTTGCCGGCTACGGGATTTGAACCGGCAACCTTTCAGCCACAGGCGCAGATCCTGAGCCACAGAGCCACCGCTCCGCCCCAAGGAGATAGGGCGGAGTGGTGCTTATATAGGAGATGCTTCTTCAAAGGGCTTTCCTGCCTAGGTTGAGAACAAATTCTGGACTCCTTCAAAACTGAGGGGCAGCATTTTAGATGTATATAGATGCTAAACTACCAAATAAGCCAAATGGGAGAATTGGGCTCCTCTCTGTACTTGAGTTTCTACAACAGAGTGCTGCTGTCCTTCTGTACTGTGGGTTTAACCAGAAAGCAGGGAGAGTAGTTGTCACAGCCATATCTATTTGAGATCATATACTGAACCTGTTAATCCCACTAATACATTTAGGTACTGGTGTTTCACAGCATGCAAAGATTGAGCCTGTGCTCATTGCAAGGATGTAACAGTACATCCTTGCATGCAGGCTGACATACATGCACTTTGTATGTCAGCCTGTTCCCTTGCACAGTTGTACCCCTATTGCAGCCAGATGTGTGCTTGTATTTTAGAGCATGGTTTGTGTCATGGGGGAGGGGTGGTCACCTCTCTCCTCACTCATCGGTGTCCCACAGCAGCTGCCACAGTGTTACGCTGTACAGTGCCCCAGTAATAACTGTAGATAACCTGAGCTGCTGGGGCTCAGAGACTGTAGCAGCACACCACCTTAGGTGTTGAAGCATGCACTCCAATAAGAGCTGGCCATGCTCCAATGGGGCTGGGCAGGAGACAGCACAGCTGGCCCAGCAACAAGGTGGTGGGTGAGGTTGGTGGTGGTGGGGGTCTCTGGACATTCCTTTTGACTTCTCCTTGTACAACCCAGCGCCTTTACAGAGCTGAAAAACGAAGAGGGCCACAAGTGCAGCTAATTTCTCAGCGTCACGCTTTTCAAAACAGGGAGGAAAAAAGCAAAGGCTAGTCAAGCATGGTCTGCGCGTCTTAAAGTCCCCACACAGCTGTGCAGAACCTCTTTCCCCATCATGGGCGTGGAGAATGAGTTAGCCATTAGCTCAGCGAATAAAAACAAAAGATGCTGTGTGCTGCACAGATTACAGGAGAGGCAGCTATGGACTTCCTGTGAGCCATGGCCATCATGTACCTGAGCTGATCAAAGACGCACGAGCCATAGGGTCTGTCCGTCACGAAATGTGACACCGCGGACGTGCTGGGTGCTCTCAGCCCTGTCAGCTTCAGAGCAGGGAGGCTCTGGCTGTCCCAGGCACACGCAGAACAGCAAGGCCAGGAGTCGCGCGCTTCAAAAGGGGAGCAGGAAGCCGATTCACTTTGCTTTAACGCTACTTTGATTATTCACAGAAAATGCAGGCGGAAGGTGGTCGGGGGGGGAGGGGGAGCAGGGTAAATAAATAAAAAATAAACAATTATAGCACCCCTCAGTGCACACACTGTGAGGAGCCAATCGCTGTGTCGGCCAAACGACTTGGAAATTGTGTGTAATGAGTAGGAAAAGATTAGAGGCAGCTCTTGCTAGGCTGAAAATTGACATTAGTAAAAGAAAACTCTTTACTAGCCGACCTAGGCGGTCTAATTTAAGCAGTAAAAAAAGAAAGGAAAAAATCGCAGAGTATGAAGGGAGCAGTGTCGGTCTAGCGTGCATCTCCCAGCACGTTTTTCAATCTTACTGCAAGGTTATTCAGCATAATGCAAAATTAAATTAGAAAAGTCTGGGAATATTGGGATGGAAGAGTCATTTTGGAGGTGGTTTATTTCGGTGAACCGGCAGTGACCCACGCTGCCGGGACCTCATGCGTGAAATTCAGTGGAAATTAACACCGGGGTCCCTGCCTGGCACAGCGCACCGCTGGGAATACAAAACCGAGAGCCGTGGCCTCTTGGCAGCGTCGGTGTGTATGGTGTAGCCGCGCGTGCCTGCCATTGAAGTTTACTGATTTCTTTTCTTCCGAACCCACTCTTAAATGCTTGCCAAAAACGCAAAACGGAAAACCAGAATGGAAGACTCCTTCGGTCGATGGATTACTTTGATGCTGTGGGTATGAGTGGGCACCTCTTTCCCCTCTGAGAGAACCAACCCAGCCCCTGCTGGCCGAAACGCTCCACCTGGAGAAGCGAAATGTTCCTAAATTGCCGCTGACGCACCTCTCTCAATCTCGGCGATGTTAGCCAAACCACGGTCAGCCAGGGAAAGATGAAAGCTTCGCAGTGCAAGACTCCTTGCCAGTGTGTTTAGTATTATTCATTAGCTCATCAAACTATCTAACAAATATCTGCATTGAGCAGATCTGCCAACAGATTGGCACAGCATGCTTATTCCTCGGCCGTGTCAGAAAATTAAAAGCGACGTGGATGCAGGAGGGAAACTGTGAGACCTGTGAAGGTTTTCAACATTGCGGGTAAAAAAAACTACCTTCAGGTTGAATTTGATATTCATGCCTTTCTGTAAGAACTGCAGCAGGGTGCTGGTGCCACAGCTCCACAGGTGTGTGGGAAGGACTGAACTGCTGCAAAGGGAGTGTGTTTCATGGGAGGAAACCAAACAACAATAAACTACAGTCTCTGGAAAAGGAGCAAGCCTGCTCTGCATGTATGAAGAGAAAAAGGAGTAATGTGGACCAATAAAGCACCAAGGAGTGGGATGGAGGGCAGAATCTCACATACGGTATACAGATGCAGACATCACGTTTTGGAAATCCTGGCTTGCTTAAGAAATTGAGAACATAATAAAGGTTAAAAATGAGAGAAGGCCTCTTGGCCCATCTAGCCTGTTTAGTACTAGTTAGATGATCCAAGGGCCTCATTGAGCCATATTTTAAAGCCTATTTTAAAAGAAGGCAGAGTATCAGATTCAAACACAGGGCTGGGTAGCTTATTCCGTGCTCTCACAGCACTTCCTGATTGAACAGAGGAGAGGAGATCTCACTAAGCAATAGGACAAACAGTGACTAGGGAGTGGTGCAATGCTCTTCCTGCTTGGAACACAGAAATTGAAAAGTTTTCTTTGTTGGTTGTGTCGGTTGTCAGTGGGGCTTTGTTGATGGTGACTCCAATCTGGTGAAGTGCAGAAGTGGTGCAGCCCAGTGTGAGCTTCAGTCAAATCCAGTCTTGCTCCGCTCTAGATCCAGACCACTTTTAGACTCAGTTTAAGTCCAGCTCAAACACAGTCCAGTTGCGTTCCAGTCAGACGGTCTCTGCTCGTCTCTTCACAGATATGTACGACCAGGTGCTGAAGTTTGGGGCCTACATTGTGGATGGCCTGCGGGAGTACCGTCAGCCCGTACTGGTCTACATCCCGCCCCAGGCAGAGCTGAGGGGTGGCTCCTGGGTAGTTATCGACCCCACCATCAACCCAAGGCACATGGAGATGTATGCCGACAAGGACAGCCGGTAAGAAACCCTCTTGGAACATTAGATTGGAACTTTTGCTACCTAGTCTATAATGCATTGAATGTTCCCCTGATTTCGTGATAGAAAGCTTGTAGTTATTTCAGGAATCTTGTTTTAGATCTTGAAAAAACAGATTGGGAGTACGCTTTGTAGAAGGAATTGCAGCAGTGCGGTCAATTACAGCTGCCCATGCTGACAGCGGTTGCATCCACAGACAACAGGTCAGATCAATTATAGTCATCAGACAGTAAGGCAGGGACAGATGAAATCAATAAACCCTCTGACAGTGTGGGTCACTGTAATTGCGGCTGGAATCCATCCAGATAGAGCAGTGGGGTGTAGGGGGTCTTGGAGCCTGCAGTCCATAACTTGGGATGTAATTCTTTGGATTAACCTGCCTGGCCTCCCTTCTCTCCTCTCTTCACTATAGTGGTGGGGTGTTGGAGCCAGAGGGCACGGTAGAGATTAAATTTCGGAAGAAGGACCTGGTGAAGACCATGAGACGAGTGGACCCAATCTACATGAGCTTGGCTGAGAGGCTAGGTGAGTGATGGGCCCGTAACAGACAACACCAGTCTGGTTCCAATTCACCACCTTATCTATCCCGCAACACTTAACTCCCCAGTGGCCTTTCACAACCCCTCTCAAATTCTTTTCTTCTCTCTGCCTCTCTCCTCCCAAGTATATCTCTGTAGGCTGGCCGTTCCACACATTTAGGATCTCCTCTCGGTTTCAAAGCTGATCTCTTCAGCTTACAGTCTCCCTAAAACCTGCTAAGGAGGCATCTCAGTTACACTGCTCTCTGTTGCTTCCTGATTCCAGCTCTGCGAGCTCCCAAGATTGTAACCAGCCATTCTTGTCCCATATATTGATGCTGAAGCACTAAAGGGGTTAAGCAGACGATTAAAAACAGCAGACACTGAGAAAGAAATTGTCTGTAAAATTTGTCATTTCCAAACCTGCTGTCAGTAAGACCTCATCACAGGGTAGATTGTGGGCTACAGGCAGTGTAGCGCATTTATTACAATTCCTGCCCATTTTCCTTTTACACACACACCACCACCACCAAAAAAATGAGACTTTTACTTTTAAAAGACATCAAGAAACATCAGGAATCACAATAAAAAAGCATGTCTCAAGAGGCACTACCAAACAGACAGGAAAGCAGGAGTTCACCTGGTGAACCCCACTCTCATGCCAGGGAGAGATGATAATTGACCGTGAAAAAAAGCCAAGCCTTTTTCCTCCATGTTTTTTTCCCAAAGTCAATCTCGATCCCAGAGCAATATAATAATGATGATGATGATGACGAAAACCAGCGAACATCAGTTCAGTGGACGACACCACGGATTGCATAATTTAGCCGCCGCCTTTTCCCTCTTTTCTCTGTCCTCCTCTCCCTCCTTCCATCCTCTCTCCCTTTCTCTTTCTGGGTAATTTAAAATTTGTCAAACTCGGGCGTCTTCTGGATCGCTGGCCTTTGATATTTTGCTCACTCCATTTGCCACAAACAAGCCGCGGGGCTCGGTTCCTGCTGACTGCTGCAGAAGTGGTGCGGCTCCATTTATCTTGTGCCGCAGACTGAATGCTTACTCATTACTGGGGCTCTCGCTGGGTTAACCCTCTCCTCGCCTTGGCCCTACCTGAGCCTGCACCTACCCCTCCGGCACCCCAGTACACACACACACACCATGCCACCACCGTCAGCACTGTGTTTTACTAGGCCTCTCAAGAACAAAATCCCCAGGATTACAAGCCCTGTGTGTGAGGCTGTCATCTCTGCCTGGAGCAGCCGTGGACACTGGGCTCCCTGGGTTTGAGTGTCTGGGACTCTAGTCTACAGTATATCTCTCATTAACAAAGCGTCTCCAGTATTGAGCAACAGTCATACCGCCTGCATTGCAGAACTGCTTGACTGCAGCGGCATCAGTATTGTTGCTCCTGTTGCCATTGGGATTGTGGCTAACAGAAACAGTAAAAATAATAAGCAGCAATTTATAATAATAAGCACTAAATGAAGAAAGTGAACTTCTTTATCATGTCCATGGGGCTAGTTGTTTGTGTAGAGAGAATGGAACAGGAAGGTGATGTTTCTGTCCAGGTGTGATCAGGAGCAGTGTGCTGGCGAGTCGGTGTGTGTGTGTGTGTGTGTGTGTGTGTGTGTGTGTGTGTGTGCACGCAGCCAGTGTGTGGCTCTGTGCTGTATTATCTCACCCGCGCTCCCGGCTGCTCTGAGCGGTTAACCCTTTCCAGCCTCCCCCCGGGGAAATGTGTCAATCTGAGAGACCACAGATCAATCAGCGGCTGATTATGCTTTTCATTCTCCTTCAATTGATTTTATTCGCGGCTGAAAATAGGCATCTGCTGTCAGCGGGGCGAGGCGGCCTGTGCGGGGCTCTGACGGATTGGTTTTGACAGAGATCAATCTCACAGCTGATGGGCAGGGAGGCCTGGGAGCAGAGAGCCAGCACTGCATTACAGCAAGAGCAGCCAGAGCCCTGATAATACACTTCAACAGGCTGTCTGATAGACACAGCTGCACACTGACCCACAGCTGCACAGATACACAACGCACTGACTCACACCCACACACTGGTGTCCAACACAACAAAATAAGGTTTCACAGCAGCACATTGGCACACAGCTACACATTTTTTGCACAACAGCACATATTTAGTGCAACAGTAAGGCAGCATTTTACAGCAGTACATTAGTTATGTTTCTGGTATTGTAATTGAAAGTTTGTGGGTTCAAATCCCAGGTGAATCACTGCTGTTGTGCCCTTGAGCAAGGTGCTTCACTTAGATTGCTTCAACAAAATACCCAGCTGTATAAATGGGTGCGAGTATAAATCATTTTGAATGAAATCCTCAGCCAAATAAATTAGTAGGGTCTACAGATACACACTCACTGGCTTGCAACAACACACAAAAAGCAAAAATAACACTCTTACGCTTACAGGGCAGCCTAGCAAACACACTGAGTCACTGTCCACCTTCTTGAAGTAACACACCTGTTATTGCAAAACAAGATACTGTTTTTTTTAGTTGAGCAAAAAATATCCAGAACTGACAAAAGTGCAAAGTGATTTCACACCGGTGTAAAATATGTTATGATTGTTTTTTCTCATTTTATGCAAGATTAAACTTTTCCAGGAGAGGGAGAGGTATTATGCAAATGCTATTTATTTTAGCCAAGTGCAGCTCTAGATCAGCAGACACATGCATGCGAATGAAGGAGCTCCCAGGGAAGGTCTTCACCTGTCCGCCGGTTCCTGTGTGCTGTGGTTCCGCCTCTCTCTATGGATCTTTAAATCTGTCTCCGCTTTCTGGACCGTTCCACAATCGATCGGCTCCTCCTCACTCCACCCACACAAACCGGGGGCTTTTCTTTTGCTGTTCCTGGTCTCCACCCCGAAGGGGCGAGAAATCTTTACAGCGGCTAGGATTCAAATCGAGTAGAAAATAGGCATTGATGTATTTGTTAATATCACCTTAATCGCTGGCTAGGCTGGCAGAAGGGATGGGGGGGGGGACTTCTCTCACCCAGAGGGCCATCATCACGTCTCAGCCTGGGCCTGACCCTGTCTGGGGTCAACTTGTCTGTGTCCATGTTTGTGCTCATGTACAGGCTATTTGGATGTAATGTATCCAGAAGGTACATGTCTCACTAGGGCTCATTGCAGCATGCTGTCCATACAGAGTGTTAGATGTGGCAATTGTATTGGTCTGCAAGGATAGGAAGGCCTTCATCATGGTGGACAACCAGTGTGGGGGGTGCTGCCTGAAGGGTAATACTATACAGAAGCTTTTGTCTAGATCAAGAGCTCCCGAAATCCCCTTTACAGAGGGAGAGGCCTTTACACCAGCGATTTTACTCTGTGATCCGCCTGTCACATCACATGGGGACTCCACCCATATAAATCAGTCAAGAAAGTCACGTTGAAATAGGAACTGCAATTCTGTTCTTAACTGTAAGACATTCAATCGCACAGTGCTGCAGTCCTGGGTGAGAGAGTCTTACAAATACCATAAATACCATCTCTAACAATGAGAATTCGATGTGCCTGTCTTTGAGGGTGCAGGGCGATGGGGGGATTGGGCTGAGGGCAAGTATGTTTCCTGGGTTTCCAGGATCCCAGGCCCCAGTTGGGAATACAAACTGATCTTGGGGGCATTTGTGTAGGTATATAGGTATGGCGTGGCTGACGAGCGTCTCGATTCCCCCCCCAGGCACGCCGGAGCTCAGTGTGGTGGAACGCAAGGAGCTGGAGGCCAAGCTGAAGGAGCGAGAGGAGTTCCTGCTCCCCATCTACCACCAGGTGGCGGTGCAGTTCGCCGACCTCCATGACACCCCAGGGCGCATGCAGGAGAAGGGCGTCATCACTGTGAGTCCCAGTTGGAGGCAGGGGCAGGGGGGTGTGGGGGGCACTACACCACGGAGAGCCGAGATGCTGTCTCCCTGGAAACACTGGATCAGCGGTCTCCGGGGGAACGGGGCCCACAGCATTCTTTTGGAATTGTGCTCCTGGCTCCTACATCAGCACAGGAAAAGAGCACATTATCGCTTGGAGAATTCAGTGCAGCACTTCTGAAGCCAAAAAGACTTAAGCCTTTTAATTATCTTTTGATAAACTGTTACATCACCTTAGCAAATAAGGTGTGAACCCCAGGGAATAAATCCAATCAAACTCCTCATTACCAAGGATATGGGGAAAAGGTTTGGAAGAAACGTTTTAGACAATTTTGAGATGATAATGTTAGGAAATCATTTTCATAACTCCCACCCCACCGAAGGAATGGGGAATTTGTCGTTATTGTGACTGCACAGACGATCGGGGCCCTGGGGTGCCTGGGAGAAAGATGAATCCACTTGTATCTACAGTGGCGCCACAGATTAAGAGCTGCAAACTTCAAATCGTTTCTCTGATTAAAACTTTCTAGTCAGTGGGCTGGAAAGCGAGTGTTGTCGAGGGCTGGAAAAAAATGAAACTGTGTTTTTGCCAACCAAGAAATTCTTTAAAACTGTTTTGGAATCCCTGCACTCAGAAACGCTTGTTTGTGGGAGAGCTGCAGCAACATACAGAGCTGTCGGTGTGTCGGAGCAACTGGGGCAGGAATTCTGTGCTGTGGAGGGGGTGAAAAGATATTGATTGTTACCTTCGCTGTAGGAGTTAGAGTGCGCTAGAGTGTGAGATTGGAGCTGCTGTAGTGTTACACTGTGGTAAGAGTGCACAGGTGTGCAGCACTGTGCGACTGGGGCTGCTGTAGTGTTACACAGTGGTGGTAAGAGTGCACAGGTGTGCAGCACTGAGATTTTGGCTGCTGGAGTGGTACACTGTGGTGAAGAGTGCACAGGTGTGCAGCACTGTGAGATTGGGGCTGCTGGAGTATTACACTGTGGTAAAGAGTGCACAGGTGTGCAGCACTGTG